GGTAAAGGTACTTAAGAACCCTAAATAAAGTAGGCTTGGTAAAAAATCTAATCCTACAGAGACTTGTTTTCTTATTCTAAAAGGAGACAAAATAAATAGTTAATTATGATTGAAAAGTTTTAAAATTGTTTCATACCATGTGGTCACCTTAAGTTTTTTAAAGTTTAATCTTAAGATTATTTTTTTTTTTGAGAGCATAAACAGAAATCAGAGAGTATTTTTATTTAGTTGGGTAGCAAGCAGAAACAGACAGGACTTTGAGAAAAGATAAATAGGGAATCACTTTTCATTTCACTGATTGCCTGTGGGGGCCATTTTCATTCAAACCACTACACCAGCATTCAAGGCCAGCTATTAATAAGTCTGATTTTGCAGTGCACTGAGCTGGAGGGTGCAACAGGGGCCTGGCATGGGCCTGGGTTCAATCCATAGGGACCCTTAACTCTAAGAATAGCCAATGTGCTACCAATATGCCTCTGGCAAAGACAGTTTTCTCAGCTACATAAGCTCATCAGTTTGCAAGAACAAAACTTAGAAATGGAGCTGCCTATGCTCAGGTGTCAGTTCTTGTTACAAAAAAAAAAAAAAAGAGTCAGCCATACTTGGGTTTTCATTTTTTCAGGCAAACTCACAACTTGGGCTGAATTGGCACACTGTTAGAAAAAAGTTCAGAAAAAGACGATAGTTTGTATAGGCCCAAAATAACCATAGAGCTAGCTCACCTTCTACTCTTTAATTTGCTCATTCATTTGACAAATATATATATATATATATATATATATACTTACTATATATACATATACTTACTAATATATGTATATATACGTATATATACGTATATATGTACATATATACGTATATATACATATATATGTGTGTGTGTATATACATATACATATACACACACACACAAATATATATGTTGGGTACAAAGAAGACAGGAGCAGCAGCTAGCTCATAATAGGGCAACTGTCACAGGAATCCAAAATCAAATCCTCAAACATGAGGAGGCAGTTTCCTGGGTCCACTCATCTCAGGAAACAAGCTCCATCTTGCTGGCAGGATCAAAACTGAGTTCATATTCCCAAGCCCCAGAACCAAACTCCTTCCCTGCTTCTTCAGGTGTTTTCCTGTTTTTCTGTTAATCAGTAAAGGCTCTAAAGAGGGAAGATGCCATTTCTGTTAACTAAGCTAAGGTACAAAAGTCATAATTATGTTGCCTGTCTTGACTTAATTAAACAAAATGCAACTGGCCCACTCCTTTGTTCTCTGAGCTATGGACCAAAGGTCTAGGACAATGAGTTAAGCACCTTGAGGCCAGGTGTCTAGGGGATGATTAAGTAAGAATTCAGTCACTCTTTTAAATGGCAGGTCTGTCCTTGAAAGAAGGACATTTTGATTTTCCTGCAATTAGAGAGCATCTAAAGACAAAGGGTGGCAGGAATATAGGGCAAAGGGCACTTGACAGATATCCCATTCTATCCCAGAGCCCCTGAGGCTCTTCAATGTCAAAATGTGATTGGCCAATGCAACACCCAGCCTGCCTCTGTTCCCATTCTTTAAAAATATTGTTGTACAATCTCCCTTTGGGGACACGGTTAGATCCTAAGTGGCCACCTGCCTGTGCACACAGAAAATAAAGCTTACATTCTAAGCTTCTGTCTCTGAAGGGAGTTTTCTTACCTGAACCCAACAGACCCGTATAACAAGCTTAGCCAGGTATTTAGAGTTAGCCTCTACTAAGTAGCCAGTTCATTACAGAAGGTGTATTTCTTGGCAATGTGTTTGCACAAGTCTCTGGGTTCAACCCCAGCGCAGGAGCACAGGAAAAAAAAAAAAAGAAGTCAATTAATGTGTGCTGTTCCAAACACAGCAAGTTCTCACCTGTTCATAATTGCTGCATTTTAAAAGACCTCAAAATGTAGTATGTTGCAATTACAAACATAAATTGCACACTCAAAATTGGTTTAAGATGGTAAATTTTTGTTATGTGTATTTTGTTATAATAAAAATTATAACAAATGGAATTAATTGTGTGGGTCTATGTTAGAGCCCTTGCCTAGTATATGCAAATGTACATGGTTAAATGGCCATTGTAATGTGGTACACTTAAAATTGTGCCTCAACTTAATAAGCACAATGTGTTTGTTACAATTAGTAACTGTGGTAACTCAGAGGTGCCAACTGTTGTGGGGAGAGTAGGGTGTGGTGGCAAGTTGATATAAGCTAGAGTCATCTCAGGCACCCCAACTGAGAAAATGTCGCAGTAAGACCAGGCTGTAAGCAAGCCTAGAGAGCATTTTTCTTAATTAGTAATTGATGTGGGAGGTCCCAGCCATTGTGGGTGGTTGCCATCCCTGGGCAGGTGATCCTGGGTTCTTCTCATAAAGCCAACTGAGCAAGCCCTCAGGTGCAAGCCAGTAAATAGCACTCCTCCATGGCCTCTGATTCAGCTCCTGCCACTAGGTTCCTGCCCTGAGTTCTTGCCTTGATGCTTTTTATGATGAACAGTGTAATGTAAGTAAGTATCCCTCCCCAGGTTACTTTTGTTCATGGTGTTTCATCACAGCAATAAAACCCCTAAGACAGAGGGCATGGGCATTTTTAGCTAAGTCTTGCTATTAAGTCCTGGGTAGCCTCTAACTGGTGGCTGTTAGGTCTCAAACCTGGTTCAAACAGCTAAGGTGCTTATTAACATATCAAAGTGGACTCTAGCATTCAGTCCCTAGCAGTTACAGAGTCCTCTAGTCTAGCATACCCTTAGTTTTCCAAACCAGGGGCTGGCCTGCCCTTCCCCCAGGGGCTCTTCCCTATATAATCCAGCAATTTTGGCTGCGTGGCCTTTCACTTCTTGACCAGTGTCTTGGCTCAGGCAGCACCTCTCAGTGGCTCTCCTCTTGCCTTCCCTTCTCTGCTTACAGGGCCTGGTTCAGTCTGGCTCAGTCCAGAGTCACTCTGAACTCTCCCAGATATCTCTGTCGGTCTCTGCCTGTATTTCCCCTTATGTTTATAATTAATAACCTCAACCCTTCAATAAAAGGAGTCATGTCCTCCTTTTATTTTTTTAATCTTTCAATGGCAAGCCTGCCTCAGCCTGTCCAGTTTTGGAATTAAAAGCATACCTGAACATGCTGATTCAGGTGCTAAATGTTTTATTGTGATAAAGTAACGTTCAGTAATGAAACTGCTGACCAAGTTGACTCAGGCCTGTTATTCTACCATTTCAGAGATAAGGCAGGAGGATCCAGAATTCCAGGTCGGCCGGGGGTACACGATGAGATACTGTGTCCAAAAATCGCAGGCGGTGGGGAGAGGGCGGTAGAGCGTTTATGTAGCATGCGGGGGTCCCTGGGTTTGATCCCATACAGTAGGGGCTTAAAAAGTAAAGAAACAAAACGGCGGAACCTCCTCGAAAAATAACTCATTTTATCGAATGCTTAAAGTAAGCATCCTACAGACGTCTCCACTTGTCATTTTTACAAGCATGGAACTACAAGCAAAACCGAGAAGTGGGATGGTGGGGGTGAGGGGATGCTCTGGCCCTCAAAGTTCCAAACATCGCCTCTGTCTCCAGGAATACACCATCACCAGAGCATGCACCGCCTAGAAAACCGTCTTCCTCTACCAGCATAGGGCTCGCCCACTTTACGCAAATTCCCCGCCCCTTCCCCTGCGGCGCCTGCGGATGACGTCACCAGGCACTCGCGTTTACGCTTTGCTCTCCCTCTCGGAGCTCAAGAGGAGTCTCTTAGAGAGACTGAGACCGCGTCTCCTGCCTGAGGCTTGTCCAAACTGGGGGTCATGAACCGCAGCCGCCAAGTGACCTGCGTGGCCTGGGTTCGCCGCGGCGTGGCCAAAGAGACGCCAGACAAGGTGAGGGCTGTTCGTAGGGGAGCCCGTAGCGACGGCCCCGCCTGGAGGACGCACGCGCCGGGCCCGAGCCTCGCCTTGAGACCGGCCTGGTTCCGGAGGACTGAAGCCACTGGAGGTGTGGCTCTATTGCCGCGGGCAAGCAGAGACTGCGCCCCTTCCCTTCCCGGAGCCGGAAGCTCGGTCCCACCCCCAGATTCTTGAGCACGTGGACTTTGTGCACCGGAAGGGGGCGGGGTGCTTGCGTGTTAGGAATTTTTTATGGTGATAGAGGTAAAAATGTTATGGGACAGAGATGACAAGGTGTCTGTGTGACACATTATGAAAGAAATCTTACAAAGCTGGAGGAGACCGTGGCAAAGGGGGTGGTTACCCAGGTGGTTTGTTCACCATACTAAGTGCTTTCTGCAAGGTGTCGGGTTCAGAGTCCCGTGCTATGTTTGATCAAGATAGGGCAAGCCCTATCTTTTTTGCACTTGATTTCAGGATGTCAGAGGGTGTAAGTGTCCTAAGAGAAGTGAAGAGGTTGCTGTGGGTGTAGTTCTCTGGGTTAGTAACAACATGTGGTAGGTATGGTAGTGGCCTGGACATGAATTTATAGCGGTGAGAATTGGAAATACTCCCCATAGGTGTAAATTCCACCAGAGTACAGGTAGTGTTTAGTCACTATTTCCTTTGGTGTTTTGCCTACAGCAGGTAACCAATATATATTTATAGAATAGGGACAACAAATTACCTCATTGAAATTTGTCCAAAGTTATTTTCATTTTTAAAAGGATATATACAGCCTTTGAAAGAGAGTCTTAAAAATCCCTAGTTCTTGCCCCACCCCCAAGCAATACAAATACCTTTGTGTGTGTGTGTATGGCTGTGTTTGTGTATTTGTTTATGTGTGTACTGTCTAACTAAACCCAGAGCTAGCCAGTTGAGACATCCTGGCTGGCCAGTGAGCACCAGAAACCCTCCTGTCTCTGTAATACCCAGTGCTGAGATTACAGGTGTGCTTGTCACTGTGCCTAACTTTGAAGTGGGCTCTGGGATGGAACATGGGTCCTTATGCTTGCTAAGCAAACACTTTATGGTCTGAGCTCCTCCTTTCCCCAGTGTGTTCTAGCCTTTAACTTCTGGATCTTTCTCAGCCAGAATAGGATAGAATGTCATTTTTCAGGAGGATGCTTGTGTTACAAGATTTTTGGTTTTGTTTTGGAGACCAGGTCTCAAATCTGTAGCCCACTGTGGCCTCAGACTTATGGCAATCCTTCTGCCTCAGCCTCCTAAATAATAGGGTTACAGGTATGAGCCACTGAATTGCTGGAAGCTCATTAGTAGAAACTGAGCAACTGATTTGCCTTCAACCTTGGAGCATTACCATTGTGGCCGGCACCACAGTGTGGGTTTATGTCTACAATACCAAACCAGTGTTGGCCTTTACAAGCTTAATGTAGTACCATTTGGTGGGTTTGTTGCTTTTGGTTTTTGGAGACAGGGTTTCTCTGTGTAGCCCTGGCTGTTCTGGAACTTACTCGGTAGACCAGGCTGACCTTGAACTCACAGAGCTCCGCCTGCCTCTGCTTCTTCTGGGATCAAAGAAGTGCACCACCACCATCCCCTGGCTGTTAGATGTCTTAAAGGTACTAAATCATTGTTTAGCTGAGGGAATGCCAGTATTTAAGAGAGTGGCCTCAGTTTTGAACTCAGAATAAAAGATAGCCAGATAGGAAATCTTACTGGAAGTTGGGAAAGTAGAGATAGAATTCAAGATGAGCCAGGAGGGATGTTGGGGGATAATTGGCTCCCAGAAAGAATCAGTTTGCATTTGGCAGGAATGATAGGGAAAGAAGCAGAGGACCACTGTATGTGGTTTGTTAGTGGATGACCACTGACAAGAGCGGGAGGTACTCCTGGAGTCTGAAATGGCTACCATAGATCCACTTTACAAAATCCAGCCTATTTGAATATTGAGGAAGGTAGAGCAGAGTGAACATGACTTCTGAACAATATTAGGTGGGAGGGGTCTTAATCATAAGGGCCTATACAAGCTTCACCTTGTTATACTTAGAGCCTTGATCAATATACAAGATATTTTTTGATGGCTCTTGATACCGTAGTTTACATTTGCTTGAAGGCTTTGTTCAAAGGCTTCTAATGATTTCTGTAAATATGCTCTAATGAAATGTTTGCTCCCTTGTAGGTGGAGCTAAGTAGAGAGGAAGTAAAGCGTCTCATTGCTGAAGCGAAAGGGAGATTACAGTAAGTCTCCAAGTTTCTCTGGTTGTGGTCAAGTCTACATGAGGTCTGTCACATGCCTGTTTCTGGGAGGTGACATCCTTTCCCTTTCTGTTTTCACTCAGAGAAGAAGGTGACAGTGAGGAAGAGGAGGCAGGCAGTCCTTCAGAAGATGGCATGCGGCATGACCGTACCCAGGCACAGCCTAGGGAGCCCCTGGATGATGGTGACCCACAGGATGACCGTATACTAGATGATGATGAGCTGGCTGAGTATGACTTGGACAATTATGACGAAGAGGACAACCCAGGTGAGAAGTGGCTCGCCTTCATGTGTCTGCCCACAGTGCTCTCAACTCTGCTGTTATCCCAATGCTTTAGTCTGTTATACTGTCCCTGGGGTCAGGTCAGGTAATTTGGACTGGTTCCTAAACCAATATGGAAGGAAGCTCTAATCCACTGGCCTACGGTGTAAATTTGAGCTCTAAAGACACCATGTATTTTATTGAATATGTCAGGAGTAACCCTCTGTAACTGACTTGTGAGTTCTCTGCTGCTACAGTACTGTTGGAGATAATGAGGAGAGGGAGCCTGGTGGCAGGAAGAAAGGAGGTACAGTTAAGACTATGAGAGACCCAGTAGGAAGCCTGGGGAAAATACAGTAGCTGAGAACACTGGCAAAGCTGATTGTTAAGCAAAAGAAGTATAAAGATAAATACAAAGAACAGGCAGAAGCTGTGTGAGCTTCTTTCACGGCCTTCTGGTATGGTCCTGGATGACATTAACCTGTAATCTTTGGTTGTTTTTTTTTTTTCTGAGAAAGGGTTTCTCTGTAGAGCCCTGGCTGTCCTGGAAGTCTGTAGACCAGGCTGGCCTCAAGCTCAGAGGTTGGCCTGCCTCAGCCTCCCAAGTGCTGGGATTCTAGGTATCCACCACCACATCCTGCTAACCTATAATCTTAAGGGGGAGAAACAGGTGACAACTTCATCACTCTAAGTAGGTTGATAAGCTCTGTATCATGTAAATCCCAACTACTCTGATTCTCTGGGAGTTAATGGAATTCTCTCAATCAGCAACTCCCAACTCATAAAATCAGAAAAACAAGTAAGCTGACATATAAAACATCAGCTTAGTATGAAAGTTGTCTGTCTACAACAAAGTGAAGTCATCACCACCATCCAGTTCTCAGGATTTCAGTAGGCAAGTGATGGTCTAGAAGCATGCTCTTCATTATGTAAAGGAGATTACATAAACACCAAAGATGGTGCTTTTTTTTGTTTGTTTAATGTACCCTCAATTTTGATATTTTTGTGTTTTTTGGTTGTTGCTGCTGCTGCAATCCTCTTTCCTCATGAGGGCATAACCTTCCTCAGCCTTGTTGGTTGATGCTGCCCTTGCAAAGGTGTGGTATAAAGGTTCCATTTTCAATTTGTGAATCACTTGAGTGTAAATCTGAAAGCACTGCCTGCAGAGTATCCTGTCCAACTGTGAAGCCTGCCATCCTAGTTTTTACCTAACAACCCTTATCTATAGGTTTGTTCATTTCAGTGTTTCATGGACACTTTCTTCTAGATGCTGAAAGCTGCTTTTCTAGGACCTTAATTTGTTGATTGATTGATTGATTGATTGATTGAGATAAAGTTTCTCTTTATAGCCTTGGCTGTCCTGGACTCACTTTGTAGACCAGGCTGTCCTCGAACTCATGTACCTTGAATTTTAATCATATGGAACAAGCTAGAGAATCTGAACAGAACTGTAATATTTTATCAGAAGGGTTAAATTCTTGATTTAATTCTTTCATTTGAAAAATGTGGCGTCTAAGACTTAGGAAATCATTCCACATGTCAAATAGAAATGACTTTGAAATTTTTGGTTGTGAGTCTAGTCTTTAGCGGCTGAGCCATCTCTCCAGCCCACCTTTGAAATTTGTATAGTTTCCTCTCCCAAATATGAATGATAAGGTTAGTGAGAAAATAGACTCAAGCCCAAACTGAATGTCTTGGGGAAAAGGTTTTGTCAAGGTGATTTTTATTTTTCCGTTTTGATGGGTGAATTTTTATTACAGATGCTGAGACTATTGGTGAATCTCTGTTGGGTCTTACAGTCTATGGCAGTAATGATCAAGATCCATATGTTACCCTGAAAGATACTGTAAGTGTTTAGCCACATTGGTTTTCAGATTGCCCCTAGTGTTGAAAAGCCTTATTAAATCTCTGCCTCTAGCCAGTGACTGTTTCCTGCCCACTTAGGAACAATATGAGCATGAAGATTTCTTGATTAAGCCCACTGACAACCTCATCGTTTGTGGCCGTGCTGAACAAGAACAATGCAATTTAGAGGTACATGGTGAGTAAAGGAAGTGCCCCACCTAAAAGCTTTCCACGTGAGGTTAAAATATTGCAGTGGCCCCTGTTGTGCAGCTTTAGAGGCCAGGTCTCACTGTACTTCATTTGAGTTGGTGACACGAATCAGTTTTACACCACAGCCTGTGCTGGTTATCTAGACATGTGCAGTCTGGAAATATGGCCCCTTAGGAAAGGGGATTTTGTTTTTATTTCTTTAATTATGTATTTGTGTATGACTGTTGTGCCTGTATGCAACTGCATGCAACTTGTGCCATATGCATGCTTGGTGCCCAAGGAAAGGAGAACAAGGTATTAGATTCCTGGAATGAGAGATACAGACAGGTGGCAGTGGTGGTGTAGGCATTTGAGAGGCTGAAACAAAAGAATCCATGCAAAAAGAATTAAATTATATTGGTCTTTTTGAGATTGGTTTTTATGAATGCACATCTGAAATCATTATATCATCGCCAGTTTAGTTTACCATGTATGCTGCAAATTTTTTTTTCAGGACCTTGCCTTTTCAGCAGAGGCTAATGTGACAACTTGACTTTAAGTTTCCAAATTCCCAGAATCTGTCCCATAATCAGAGATATGAGATTTAAAAACAAAACAATAATAAGAAAAAAAACCTTCGTTTATTTTATCACATCTTTCTTAGTAAAGAGCCTGTTAAAGGAGACTTTTGTTATCATGTCATTGTATACTACGTAGTGATTTGATTTTTAATGTAATTTTGCTCCTTAACTTTCTGTATGTGGATGTTTAAAAGCGACTTCTGCAAGTTGGCATATTTTAAAGCATGTCCTTTGGTCTACATTGTTTTCATAAACTCTTGAAATATTGAAATAATTCTGGTAGGCATTTAACCTTCTAAATACGATCATTTTCTCCAATGTTATTTTTGTTTGTTCCGACTTAAAATCAGGTGGACCTTTAGCAGATAATGTCAGTCCTCCTTGTAGAGTGTGATTTTTGTAATGAAGGAAATGACAGAACCGTTTTTCAGTCTGGCAGTGTTCATGGAAAATGCTAGGAGATGAGAATGTATTAGATTGGACAAACAAACTTTATCAATAGTGACCATAAAGTTTCCTTTCAATGTCATCACCTGTCTTGTTTTAATAGGAGACTGTTGTGAGGTACATGTGATTTCTGAAGTCTCTTATGGAAGTCTCTCTCTTCAATCTTTTTAGTTTACAATCAAGAAGAGGAGTCTTTCTATGTACACCATGACATACTCCTGTCTGCATATCCTCTGAGTGTGGAATGGCTGAGTTTTGATCCAAGTCCAGATGCATCTTCTGGTAATTGGGAAACTTGTTTATTCTTCATGGGTCAGAACTGTCGCTGACAGTTTATGAAGTGTGACTTATAGAATTCCTAGTGTAATGTCACTTAATCATTTGGGGTCTGTGTGCCCCCAGAGTTTAGATAAGCCACTACACTGTGCTGAAAGATACTATTTGAAAGTTTTTTTTACGATAAAACTACTGAATCTTGTAAAAGCCGAGTGTAAAGTGGTATCATGTTGCCAGCTGGATTCTCAGAAAACACTCAGTGAGCCAGACATGGTATGATAGTATATCATTTGGAAGCCGGGACAGACGAATCTTTAGTTCTAGGCCAGCCTGGACTATATAATGAGACCTTGTCTCAAAATATTTTTAAAAAACGAAATAAACAACAAAAAATAAAAAGCAGATAAAAGCAAAGCAAAGACCCTTGTCCCAGGTCACTGTCCTTTCAGCCGCATCTGCACACACTTGGTTGCCTGGCCAGTGCTCCTCAGTAACAGTAAATACTGTAATACTAATGACTTTGTAGTTTTTGCCAGGCTTATTTGTGCTCAGTCTTGACTTGATCCTCACCCTTGCAGTGGTCCATGGAGGAAAGGGCAAGAGTTGTTGCTTACCTGTAGTAAATTTTATAACTGAGGCCAAAGGATTGAACCTTTACTACTAGAATTACAACTACTAAGCCAGCAGCTCAGCAATGGCATGGGAGCTGTTAGAACTACAGGTTTCCAAGACGATGTAATGGGCTTGAGAAGTACTGCTCAAGTCAGTCCACAGCATGATGTGCTAGGCTGGCAGCTTTTGGTGATAATTTATAATGGAAAGGGCATTGTTTCTTTCCATAGGAAATTATATTGCTGTGGGAAACATGAGCCCTGTCATTGAGGTATGGGACCTGGATATAGTGGACTCTCTAGAGCCAGTCTTCACACTGGGAAGTAAACTTTCAAAAAAGAAGAAGAAGAAATCAAAGAAGGTAAAGAGGAGTAGATATTAAAAGACAAATTGGGCTAAGAACATATATTTTTGCAATTAGATCATCTTGGTATAGAACAGGAGTTACAAGGGTAATGTAATTTTTGTTTGTTTGTTTGTTTGTTTGTTTGTTGTTTTTCCAGACAGGATTTCTCTGTGTAGCCCTGGTTGTCCTAGAACTCTCTCTGTAAACCAAGTTGTCCTCGAACTCAGAGATCCATGTGCTTCTGTTTCCCAAGTGCTCGGGATTAAAGTCATATGCCACCACTACCACCAGCTAGTTAACATAATTTCTAATTTCAGAAAGCCCATTTATTTTCTGGTCTCATGAAACCTGTTGGAATATAATTTTACTAAGTGCTAAGTTTGAACTTCAAGGTTCCTGTTTAGCTGCTTGTGTGATAAATTCTATTATGTCTATATTTTTCTTGTAGATTTGGGGAGAGGTGAAGGACAGTGTTGATAGGTCATGAATTGCTATTTTTTTTTTCTCTAAAGAATATTTATCATAAAATCACTAGATAATAAGAAGACAGTTTGTGATGGATGACTTTTAATACAAACAAATTAAAATATATTACAGAGTTCCTCAACAGAAGGGCATACTGATGCTGTCCTTGACCTTTCCTGGAATAAGACAATCAGGTAAGAAGATGGCATTCATGATGTGTTGTCTGCTGTATGTTCTCATTCATACCTACACTGTCCACTGTGCAAGCAAGGAGCTTGCACCTTTATGCCCATCTTTCTCCCCTTTTCTGCATATGGACAGCAGCAGTACTATTAAGTTGCATCCCTCCTATCCCCTAGCCAATTTTGCCATAGGTGCCCTTTATAAACCTGGAAATCACGTACCCTCCTCCAGTGCCGGTGACTCCATAAGATGCTGCTGTTTCTCCACAAACTTTCTCACTTTATTTCATTTTCACATATTACTCATCTTCTCACCTTAAATTATGGTCAGATAGTCCCAGCATGAAATCATCACTTTGACCCCTTTGTAAGTTCTGTGATTCAGTACCTCCACATCATGCAACTGCTACCACCGCCTATCTTCAGATCTTTTCTGTAGTCCCAGACTGAACTCTGTACCAAAACCCTGCCTTCTTCCCCTTCATCCTAGCCCTGGCACCACCATTCCACTTGCTGATGAAATTTATTTAGAATGTGTTTTGGTTTTTTGTTTTCTTTTGTTGTTGTTGTTTTCTAAACATGGTCACACTGTGTAGCTCTGGGTGTCCTATTGCCCAGGTTGTTTTAAACCCTGCATTCAAGCAGTATTCCTGTGTCAGCTCCCAGTTAGCTGGAACTACATGAGTGTTTGTTTCTTAGTGATTGGTGATATTTAGCATCACAGTGCTCTTTTGCTGTTATATATACCTTCTTAGTGGGAAATACCATTTTCAAATTGAATTGTAAAAGTCTCTTCTATATTCTGAAGTAATACCTAGCTAGAAGTGTGTTTCCAAATATTTCTGTTATGCTTGTGGTTGGTTTTTTTTTCCTTTTGTAAAATCATTTTAATGCTGAAGGTGTCCCATTTATTTTTGTTATGTGTTTGCTGATACATTTAAGAAATGTTCCCTAACCCAAGATCATCAAGATTTATATTAATTAATGTGTTTTGGAATTTTTTTTAGTGTTAGCTCCCACATTTAAATCTGCTGTCCATTTTGAGGTGTGTGGATGTTGAAATGGGGGTCAAACTTTTTCACAAGGATATTCCATTGTCTTTGAATCATTTGTTGGTAATGGCATCAATGTCATTCCCCCAACTTGAACATTTAAAATTGTCTTGGCACTTTTTAAACATCAAAAATACCAATCAATCACTGAGAAATACAAACTAAAACATGGCCATAACCTGGTGGCAACAGGCATATAGTTCCAGCTCACTGGGAGCTGAGGCAGGAAGAGTGCTTGAGCACAAGGTTTGAGACAGCCTGGGCAAAATGGTGAGACTACATCCTAAAAACAAACCAAAAAAACAGGCTGGAATAGTGGCTCAGTGGTTAAGAGCACTCAATGTTCTTACAGAGGAGTGAGTTTGGTTACCAATATCCACATGCAGTGGCTCACAGCAAAATCTATTTTCTGAGATTTACTTCTGTTTGCTCAGTCAATAGGCCTGTGCATTTTGTTGGGATACCTTTAATTTTTCGATTTAATTTTGGAAGTTTTCATGATGAAAGTCTTAAGTTTGTTTTTTTTTTTAAATGCCTATTTCACTGCTTTGATGTTATAAGTGAACTCCTTATATTTAATGTTTTTTTGTTTTTAAAAACAATTTCTCTATATTTTGTTTCTTTCCATTCTTAGAAATGTGCTGGCAAGTGCATCCGCAGATAGCACTGTGATTCTCTGGGATATGTCTGTAGGGAAGCAAGCAGCCAGGCTTACTGCACACACAGACAAGGTATGGTGACTTAGGGGGTAAAGGGCTTCTAAAAAATCTGGTAGATTATTGGCTAAAATAATCCAGACATTTGTATATGGCTTTCTTCGACATACACATTGCTTTCCACAGTTATCCCACGAGGTTCACAGAGCCCTGTGCAATAAATAACAATCCTCCAGTCTTACAGAATAGTAATCAGGAACATGAATGCCCTGTGAAATGTTCCTTGAGGCTCCTGGGAGCCTGGGTGGGGTTGTCAGTCACAACAGTAGTAAGACTGTAGTAGATGTGTAATTACAGAACTCTGCTGAGGACGCTGACGTACTAAAAACAGTTGGACTTGAAGGCCTATGCGCTTGCCCAGTCCACTCTACTTCCCTTTCTTCTGAAGGGTCTAAGCATTCCACCACAGAGCCTGAGGAGTGCTACATTATTCCCGCAAGTGCTTGCTTTTATTTGAGAACATGGTTTCCCTTTTTAAGTATTTAATACCTCCTCTTTTGGCTAGGTATGGTGGCACATACCTTTAATCCCAGTGCTCAGGAGGCAGAGGAAGTTCAGGGCTATTAGGCCAGCCTGGTCCATACAGCAAGTTTCAGACCAGCCAGGCCTACCTACTGAGACCCTCTCCAAAAATCAAAACAAACAAACCCTGCAGATTATACACTATTGGAATTTTAAAGAGGTGGCATAGAAACAGTGCCAGTTCTGTTTGACTACCCCATAGCAATAATACTCAGAGTGGATAAAGACAGATCTTTTCTCGTTCCTTCCTCTAGGTCCAGACACTGCAGTTTCATCCATTTGAAGCACAAACTCTGATTTCTGGGTCATATGATAAGTAAGAAAGCACTTCTTGTACTGCAGTTGCATTATCCCTAAACTTATTTAAAAGTACCTAGCCTGTGGGTGTAGCTCAGAAGGGCTATTGCCCATAATGCACAAGACCTTGAGTTCATACCTTGACTAAGCAGATGCCATTTGATGCTTAGACAGGCTTTACTATTGAGGTGCTACACATTTAAATCATTAATGCTAGTTTTCAACCCTGATCCTACTTTCCCTCAAAAAGAAATGTGGTTTTGTTATAGTAATCTAACTATAGAAACTAGAAATGTATCTGGTTTTTAAAAGGTATATGACTTAGCCATTTTTGTGATACAAGCAATTCCAAACAGGGTGACTTAAGACAAGCATTTCTTAGGCCATTTTAGATTGTGTCCATGAAGACTGAGCTCAGCTGCTCACAGTGGCTTGGTTAGGCTAAACAAAGACAGTTGATTCTCCAAAGGCAGAGAGACTTTGGAGACTCGGTTTAGAGCTAGTACACCCTCTGTGGGTGCCTCTATGGGGAACATTCCTACATTACATGGCAGAAACCATGGGTATAGGAGAAATGAGCAGTTGGAGCTACTTCTGTCAACTGCAGGAGCCCTGGTCACATGTACTCTCCTTTTTATAGATTGCATCTGAGGGAAGGGGTGGCTAGTAGTATCAAACCAATTAGCAGTCTTTGTTTTGATTCCTTATCCTTTACAGGAGTTCCAGTTTTTCTTAGATGTGATTTGTAAAAAACTGTAAGACTGTATTTCTTAGTTCCCCAAGCACAGTAGTGACCAGAGAACAGCTGTGGTTAGAGCCTTAGTTGCATGGCTGTGAACCTTACCTGGGAAAGGGAAGTAAGAACTGCCTTGGACTTTGGGAATGGGATTCATCCGTAATTCAAGATTTTGATCTGCAGAAAAATGAGGCCCCAGTTAGAGCCATAGTTCCTTCCAGTGACAAAAAAACAGGATCCACCAGTAAAATTCAGCTTGGGGCAGTAGAGATGGCTCAGCAGTTAACACATTTTGTTCTTTCAAAGGATCTTATTTCAGTTCCCAGCACCCACATGATCTAACTCCAGTTCCAGGGGAATCAGATGCCCTCTTTGGCCTCTATGGTCACTGCACCTACATGTGATGCACAAACATTTATGCAGGCTAGAGAGATGGGCCCAGCTGCTCCTCTGCAGTTCATTCCTAGCACCTACATCAGATGGTTCACAGCCACCTGTAATTCCAACTTCAAGGGATACTATGTCTTTTTGAACCACATGGACACCTGTACACACAACAGAAATGGAATTTTTCTTTTTACTTTTTTTTTAAGTTTAGAACTTTAAAACAAGCTATAAATAATTGAATTCTCAATTCATAATGCTGCTCTGTTATTTCACTAAAGTAAGTTTAACCCTAACATGGCATACAATATGTGCAGGTCAGTGGCTCTGTATGACTGCCGAAATCCAAACCAGAACCAACGCCTGTGGCGATTCAGTGGGCAGATTGAGAGAGTGACGTGGAACCACTTTTCACCTTGTCATTTTTTGGTAAGAATATGCACATTGGTTTTTGGGTGTTTTAAGAACTTCCTTTTTTTTTCTGATTCCGTAATAGTGAGATTGTCAGAAAAGCATTTTCTCTGCTAGTATGAAGTTTCTGGACCTTAGAACTAAAAAACTGAAGTGTGTTTCTTAACAATACAATGACTTAACTACAAAGAAATTAGTAGCTTGTGAATCACTTAGCTAATTTTCAACTGTGCCAGTGTGCTACATATTGTTTTTACATTTTTAGATCATTTTACTACATACAATATTTTTGAAATACTAATCATAATATTCTATTGTTTCAAGGTTTTGAGATAGGATCTGTATGGCCCAGGCTGACCTTGATCTTGCAAATCCTGCTTCTACCTATTTTTTGGTGCTTTTTAACGGTTAAATCAGTCCAAGAGATACTCTTAAATCCTTTCATGTAGATGGAACTCTAATGGATGCCAGTGTTTGCCTACCAAATGGGAAAAGAATAAAGACTTTTTAAAAGTTCCACTAACATCAGCCAAACAGAATGCCTCAATATTACCCACTCTGTATTTTTCTTTTTGCTTTAATATTTCATGTGTTTTGTTGTCTCTTAAAAAAAAAAAAAAAAAACTTTTATTTGTTCTCAGTTTGCAAAACTTAGTTTATAGGTATATGTGCTTTGTCACAAATTCTGGCTTTCACCATAAAAACACTGGAAAGCAGAAGTTACGGTAATGTTAAAAGCCCACATTTCTAAGAAAATACAGCTTATACATACATGAATTTTAAGCATACTTTGGTTGCAGTACATTTAGACAACAGTACTATGCAGTCATGCTCTTAGGAAAATAATGAAATTTAATTTAAGTGCTTTAAAGTATACTATTCTTAGCTGTACAACATAAAACTGTGTTCTTAAATTTCTTTTGCCAATGGGTGGGGGTTGTTCCAGACAGGGTTTTCTCTATGCAGCCTTGGCACTATTTTCCTAATTTATAACCACACCAATTAAAAAAAAAAAAAAAAGTTTTTGGAAAGTTGGTAAGTAGGATTGCCATTTCCAGGTATATTGAGCCCATACTGGTTTTTCTTTTCTTCCCTTCTACTTCAGGACAGAGTGTAATTTGTATCCCAGGCTGGCCTCAGACTGCCTCAGCCTCCTGAGACCTTTTAGCAGTGTACCAGAGCTTCTTTACCTACAAACTGTAAAATGTTCCAGTTGAGCAAGAGAAGCACACTGTTCAGTTTAGGACAGCTTTTTAATAATTAAACTTTCAAAAGTGTTTCTAAAAAGGTCATTTGTTTTTTACCATGAGATGAGATTGTTTATGAATTCTAAACATTTGAGTGTTGTTTTTCTCATGGAAAGAGAACTTCACCAGTAGCAGATATACAACCTAACACCAGTGCCACTTGTGTAGTTACAAGGCAGACTTGAGTACAACTAAAACAGTTAAAACAGAATCTGCCAGTTCCTTCCTACTTAGAAGGCTCCCACTATAGGAACTGGATTGGGAATCACTGGTACTAGATGTGCAAAAATCGGTGATGTTACAACCTTCAGTAGAGATGCCTAGTCATTTCACCCCAGGTACATGAGCTTAATGTATCATAGTTACATTCACCCCAGAATTGAGCTTTTGCATAGAGCATTTTTGACGAATTTTTTTCTGGATTTATTGCATTACTGTTTATTGCATAAGTGTTTTTTGCCTCTGTGTATGCAAGTGTACCTACCATGTGATGTGATGCCAGTGGACTTCAGAAGATGGTATCTCATCCCCCAGAACTACAGTTATAAATGGTAGAGCCACATGGCCACTAGGAACCAAACCTAGGTCCAATCTTAGTTTTTGACCCTGCATCTAGCATTCATCAAGGCAGGCCTTAGTTTCTGCCCTTTCCTATTGGTGTTGCCCTACGCATGAATAGAGCTTTAGGTCTCTTTCACCTTTCTTTGCTCCCTGATTCTTGAGAGCCTAACAGCTTATCTCCAACTGTCAGTCCACTGCAAAGGCACTATTAAGACATCATCTGATTACCATCATCTTCATAATTTCCTTATTGGCTCCCAACATCCACTTTCTTTACTCCCACTGCTTCATTCTGTGCCTTCTTCAGCTCACACCTGCAGCAGCCACGCTCACCAAGATGGTGCTAACCCACTGCTCTTCAGTTAACCCCCACCTCACCCATTCCCCCTCTACCTTTGTGCAGTGACTATCTATAACCCTGCTCTCTTCTGCTTTATAGCTTATGCTAAAGTTCTTATGTCTATCTTAATTTTTAGTAAATTCTACAAATAAAATTATTTTTACTATAACTTATATACTTCTCTATTGCCAAATTTTATTGTCATATAACATGATCTTGCCTGTCTTTTACTCCGCAGGCCAGTACAGATGATGGCTTTGTATATAATCTGGATGCACGTTCAGATAAGCCAGTATTTACACTTAATGCACACAATGATGAAATCTCTGGTAAGAATGATGTTTCTTTCAAATGCATTAAGTTACGACAAAGTAAGTCTAAATTTCAGGCAGTAGTTCCTGAACTAATCTTATCTTCCAGGTCTTGATCTGAGCAGTCAGATCAAAGGCTGCCTCGTGACCGCTTCAGCAGACAAATATGTGAAGATCTGGGACATCTTAGGAGACAGGCCAAGTCTCATTCATTCGAGAGACATGAAAATGGTGAGCATCTCCCTGACATTTTTATTGTGTTTCTGACCTATTTATTTGCTTGTCTTTTCCTGGAAAACACTGCAGTTAAGGTTGTTTTGAATCCAATTTTGAACTAGTCAAGTTTAATGGGAGTGTATAACTTAGGAGAGTTTTAAAGAGTTCAGTTACTGTCTGAATTCCTTTCCAGTTTACAAGCTTACTAGTCACTTTATAGGATCAAGAAGAGTGGGCAAAGGACATAGGGAAGGGCCACAACTTAGCCTTCAAGGGAATCTTGGAGCTTCGGGCACTAGAGCTGTTGGGGGCTTTTTATTTATTTCTCATAGCCTGCTTTCTACATTGAAGTTGGTAATATATGTGTTCACAAAACATTTAGAATAAGTATTTTTAACAGTGAGTGCTTACTGGGTGAGCCACTGAGTTATATGAATAACATCAGCAGCATAGTAGAATTTCACAGCTTTTAAAACTGTGTGTAAAACTTAGCTTATTGAAAGGCAGGCAGGCCATTAAGTTTCTTAGCTCCATCCCAGGCTTATCCATAAATGACTACTTGGCTCATGTACTTATACTGAAATAACAAGTTATCTCACTGAGGGATTTTATAAGTTTTTTCATTCATACTTTCTGTAAAGTGTATTTTTAATATTTAGGAGTGTAAAAAAAAAACATTAAAAGTTTACTAATAAATTGAGGGCTAGAGTGGCACTTGCTGCTAAGCTTGATGACCATGCTGTAAAAGGAGAGCACCAACTCCTCTAAGTTGGCCTCTGTCCATACACATGCCCACCCCAACACAGAAATGTAATGTTTGCCAGCAGTTTGGGGGCTCAGTGGTAGAACACTTGCCTAGGAAAGCCCTGATCTCCAACCTGCATACATGCAGGACTATTTAAGAAAAAAGACTTCATAGTGGCCTATTATATGACTGTTACTGTTTGAAAAGATAAATAAGGTTTCTGGGTATATACAGGGAACTAGATAGGAGTTCCCTAATAAAAGAATGAGGCTGCATAGTGAAATCACGGCTGGCCTCACGATGCAGCCGTAATGCTGTGCTTATCTAGCTTTGAGTAACGAATCAAACCTGTCCTTAGAGAATAGGGGTAGGGATCTAGAGGTTAGAACTCTCTAGAAGGATAGAAATCACTGACATTTCAGTTCTTTTCTTCCTAGGGAGTTCTTTTTTGTTCTTCATGTTGTCCTGATTTGCCATTTGTATATGCCTTTGGAGGACAGAGAGAAGGACTCCGAGTTTGGGACATAAGCACTGTCTCTTCAGGTAAGAAGAGCCTTCTAGCTCCTGCTCTGTCAGAAAGTGTAAGGACTAAGCACAGGGTGAGAATTTAATGAGTTAAATAGTAATTGTTGAGGTTACTTACTATTTAGTGTACCCTATAGACAGTATGTCCCCACTAAATTATCCCTCCCATGATGAGGAAGGATCCTAAACTTTTGTCAGTTGTGTGGTCATGATATAGAGGGGAAAAAAATCTGAAGCAGAGCTCTGTTCCAAGGTAGATTAGAGAACTCTTAAGACAAGCCCAAGAGATGATTAAGAGTCACCAGGGACTGTCTCTGACATGAACTTAGTGGCTGGCTCTTTGACTGCCTCCCCTGAGGGGGGAGCAGCCTTGCCAGGCCACAGAGGAGGACAATGCAGCCAGTCCTGATAAGACCTGATAAACTAGAGTCAGATGGAAGGGGAGGAAGACCTCATCTATCAGTGGACTTGGAGAGGGGGCATGGGAGGTGATGAGGGAGGGAGGGTGGACATGGGAGATGAAGGAGGGGAGCTACAGCTGGGATACAAAGTGAATAAACTAATTAATATAAAAATAAAAAATTAATGAAATTTTAAAAAACAAAAAAAAAAGCTCCTTGAAATGTAGAGATAAAGAGACAGGACCAGACAGTTAAATTGTGTCTGCCCATGCTGTGAAATGCGATAAAGATGGATTAAGCAAAATTGAAAAAAAAGATTCACTCATTAAATTGGTCTGGCATCCCTGCTTCACATAGTATTAAATATATCTTTCATAAAGTTTTCACCTCAAAACAAGCCCTTGTATTGTTTTATAATCTAGTCTTTAGATTAACTCCTTTTCTCATGGTTCCTTTTAGTAAACGAAGCATTTGGAAGACGGGAGAGACTGATTATTGGAAGCGCAAAAGGCTTGTCTGTTAGTGGCCCTTGTGGGAGCAAGAGCCCACAGACACCAATGGAGACCTGACAACGATCAGTTTCCTGATTTGCTTACCTTAACTTGGGATTTCAAAAAGCTGGCCTAGAAATGTTCAAGTGTACCTATAGCCATAATGGTGGAAACAAAACTGAGTTCAGTTCCTGTTGTCATTCCCCTCTGCAGCTTTGGTGGCAGTCCACAGCCTTTGTATCTGCCTTCAACTGGGTATTGTACAGAGTTCTTGCATTTCTTGAAAATAAAAGATTTTCAAAAAATTATTTCTTAAACATGCTGTCTGACATAGGAACTGTAGGCTTATAAAATAAATAGTAACAGTTTTTGAGACGGGTCTTGCTGTGTTAGGCTGTTGTGGTAGTTCATGCTTGTCCTCCCAATACTGAGGAGAAGAGAGACAGGACTAAATGGCCACCCAGCCTGGCCTGCTCCAGGATCCACTTGGCTCCATCTTCCCAGGCTAGGATTACCAATATGCATGATAGATTCCAGAATTGAATTGAATTGAATTGATCGGGTCTTTTATGCTTGCAAAATGAGCATTTTTGCTGACTAAGCAGTCTCTCTGGCCCACTGATTTAAAAATGTGATTCCTAAAGGCATTTTCACCTTTTGCATATTAATCATATTTTTGACAAAGCCATTATGAACTTCATGGTTTTCAGGAATGTTTTGTCTCAATTGAAAAAAAAAAATAACGGGGGGGGGGCATTTAGTTCATACAAATTTTCTATGATCAAAACATATTGCTAAATGGACAACAAACTAAAAGCTGTCATAGTAATACAACCTTTTAAGTTCTGGCTCCAGAAGGTACCAGTAAATTCTCCCTCTAGTTACTTCATAATCTCTGTGCTTATCTTTTAAAATGAACTTGACCTTGTCAAGCTCATAAAACACTGGACTCAGAAGTATAAATTAAAGAATCTTACACTACTCCGTTTTTCACTTTGCCTCAAGAACAACTGTTCATTTATTCCTTCCATGAAATTCTCCTTTCAGACTTCACCAATTACGTAAACTGATTTCCAGGTTTTATGATGTTAATATTTAACAGGACATTCTTATTTTGAAGCAATACAGTAATGCATTCTACTTGTCGTTAATATTCACCTCACTTGTCTTTCATTTGTTCTTTTCAGAATGCCAGGGCCTTTCTCGAGTCACATCAGATTTACACGATCATTATAGACTTCCAAAATGGGACCACAAGCACCCAAGTTATATGTGTTTCCCACACAATGACTGCTGTGTAGCAGACAATGGGCAAAGCACAGGATATGTAACGAGATCTGAGTGAAGCCCAATCTCTGCACTTAAAAATTATCCTGTCAGGCTTTGGTAAGACCCTTTAAGCTCTTACTGTGAAAATAAAACTAACGTGCAGTAGGGGCTTAATATACTTTCCCTTCTTGGTAACTGCTTTGGCTTTGAGCTTGAGATTAAATTTCCTGGTTCAAGATATTTCACACATATGACTTGGTTTTCCAGATCTGGTCTGTTCATTCTCAAAGTCCAGCTCTCTTCACTGAGCCAAGCTTATGCACTTTACTCCTTATCTCTTTTCAGATAGCACCTTTTACTCCTGTTCTAGCCTTTAACACATTGTATATACAGTAGCATGCAGCAAAATAGTATGCAGTCCATGAAAGTGTCCCCATGGATTTACAATGGGGTTGGAAAATCTCCAATGAGGAAGTTACAGAGTAAGCACATTAACATTCTAGTACAAAGCATTGCTCATGGGTTTGTGGGATCTGGTTATAAACCTACCACACTGTCCCTGATGTAAAAGTATAGCACATGCAATATAGTATGTAATACTTGGTAATTTGTTACTGTAAACCACCCAGCCATGTTTCACCACAGCCTCCCAGTGTTTATTTTTTACTACACTGAGGCCATCCTGAATGATGGTCTATGCCATCTGGGTTTATATAAATATACCCTGTGCTGTTGCAAAGCAATGAATTGCCTGGAGACATGAACAGACCTTGTCTCACTATAAGCAACACAATAATAATGCTGCTCTAGCATGACTCATAGACAATGGCTCTATATTTGCAGGGCTCCTACATAAAATTGCAAGCTGCTTCAAAATTATCTGTTGTGAGGAGCCTAACAGGCTGCCTGGACATCTGGAGCTTCATAGGAAATCTGAATGTGAAACCAGATTTTGGAGGTTCAGAAAAGTACACTGTATAAAACAGATTTCTAATTCTTTTTGCATTCTTCCTACAGTGCCTCAAACTACTGGCTCTTTACATGGTTTCTTTTTTTTTTTTTTTTTTTTATTTATCGTATTTTGTTTTGTGTTTCTTATTTTTTATTTAAAACGGGCTTACAGTCTAGGCTGGCCTTGAACTTATGATGATCATTCTGCTTTAGTCTCCTAAATGCTAAGATTACCAGCTTGCATCACCACAATGCCTTACATGGTTTCTGGGGGTGAAAAAACTGTCCTTGTCTGAGGTCTATGGCCTAAGATTTTTCAAAAATATATAAAAGGAAAACTAAGGAACAAAAATACACAGTTGCCACTTATGGTAGTATTCTGCTGGTGGCAACAGGAGCCACTATATTAGCTGTCTTTCACATTGATCACAACTGATGGCTACTCTGAAAGCTACTCTTCCCATACTTTGGAGATATGGATAAATAGTTGCCAGGACACTGGCAATGTTGTCTAGTGGCTGAGTGAAGGAACTTCTTGCCTTACAGGCATCCATTATGAGTTCTTATCCAAACTTAGCTATTCTTTAAAAGATACCAATCATTGTATAGGGACCCAACTTGACGGCCACATTTTAACTTTGATTAAATGTCCAAATGGAGTTTGGTGATGGCACATGCCCCTAGTACTCAGGAGGTAGAAGCAGGCATATCTCTGAGTGTGAGGCCAGCCTGGTCTAGAGATAATTCCAGGACAGCCAGGGATACTTGGAGAAACTGTCTCAGAAAAACAAAGAATTAATTAATTAAAAATAAAGTCCATGTGGTTACATTCAGAGATACTAGAGGTTAAAGTTTAACCCCAAAAAGGAAGACACTTTAATCCATATAGACACTTAGCTGTGTATACGAAGAGAGGTTATTCATCTTTGTGCTTCCAGAAGCCAAGTTGGGGGGATAATCTAAGTTCATGTAATTGATGGACTGAAAGCTGCTGGCATATTTACGCTTTTCAGAAAACCAATAAAAGAACATTTATTGCATATTTGCACACAGGTATAAAAAGGCTGGTATAGACCCAGACTGACTTTATGCTGCTACTGTCACTCTGAACTCTGCTCAACACATATGCAAGAAATGTGAACAACTCACCTTTTAAGGAATTAGCACACATAATCAAGGCATTATAGATGTGTTCAGGTGTTAGCCCAGAAAAGGAATTATTCCTAATTTCCAAAGCTTAGGATGATTTAGGGCATCATGTATCCAGTTTATTTCAGGATCTGAACTAAGATGAAAAGAAAATGTAGGCAAATATAAAACAGTATTACTGACAGTTAAAGAGACACCCAATAGGTTGTGTAATTTGGCTAAGGTTACAAACTGTTATCCCGCAGCAAATCCCAGATGAGAACTTTCAGCTGGATCCAGAGGCCACATTTACCATATCCTGCCTGTCAGTGTGGCCACTGAACCAACAGTAATAGTGGACATGACCTCCTGCAACTAAGCAAGTAAGTTTAAATCCTGTCAAAGGTAGTTGCTAACTTATCTCTTAATAATTAAAAATATTTAAAATGTGCCACGTAACCCTAAGAGGTTAAAAGGTAGAAGCAACAATGTAAGTGGGCTGGAGTGATGGCTCAGAGGTTAAGAGCACTTGCTGTTCTTCCAAAGGTCCTGAGTTCAATTCCCAGCAACCACATAATGGCTCCACCCATCTATTATGGGATCTGGTGCCCTCTTCTGGCATGCAGGCAGAACACTGTATACATAATAAATTAATCAGTTAATTAAAAAAAAAAACCAATATAAATAGTAATATCTGCTACATTCTCATAGCAAGGATTTTCTGCCCTTCCTCTTATTTTGTGATTTTTGGTATGTAGGTATTTTGAAGAACATCTCTGTGTAGGGAAATAAAGGAGAAAAGGGAGCAGCCCCACATTTGAACAGTAATGGTAATGAGGCATCATGCTTTGGTATTAGCAGCCACACCCAGCCACCCACAACACCAGGCTTCAACTGTAGACCTACTGGTTTCCAAGGAGATAGTAAAGGCCCCACCTTAGGAAGAAGGAGGGAAGAGAGGCTACAAATCTCAGCAGTATAGTCTAAGCACCATTACACAGAAACAATTTGAACATCTCAGAGCTAAAACTAAGAAAAGCTTTCTTTTTTAACGTTTGAGTCCTTCTTCCACAAAAGATTGAAAAATTAATTTTCATTAAAAAATGATTTTAATTCTTCCTAAAGGAATACAGATTTGAATGAAATACATTCATTCCATAAACACATTAGCAGCAAAACCTTCCCAGCAGAGTCCTCCACTCAAGCCAAGGTTGTGCCCTTGAGCAGGAAGGCATGTTCCATCAATCCTGTCAACTTCAGGATCTGTCTGCTTCTTGCCAAAAGCTGGTTATACCTGCTCACAGGGACCTGAAAACAGACCCCATATGAGGACTAGTAAGCCTTCTCTTCTGCCAAATCCTTTGATATCCTCTATACTTAGCTGGTAAGGACCTTCAGCAAGGAGGATAACTGGGAAGGCCTGTGAAACCCACCAATGCATTTGGAACTACTTGCTGCTTTCAGCTAGCAACATTTTAATGGTTTTCATAAAGTAAACCTACATAAACAAACCATTCCCCTTCTTCCTTCTGTAGGCTGAAGTGCCAGTCTTGTCAGTTGAGTCCATGTGCACTTTCTGGTAGGCATTATGTGAACACTGTTAATTCCAGATCCTCTGAATGACTGAAGGCTTTCCTGAAGACAGAGACACAGCTAGAGCACAAAGTACGTGCTTGCGCACAGAGCCAGGTGGTTTCCATCAAAGGGGTTTTCTGGACCTCAGTCACTGTCTTCTGAACCATAACTACTTCTTTACCTTTGAATTCCTGCTGACACTGGGAAGCAGGCTCTAAACTTGAAGTGGCCATAAGTTAGGCAGGTGTTGCTTTTTAGGAATTAGTCATCCTAACACTTGCACTGCTGTTAAAAGTCTCTGTGAAATGCATACAATAGTGCTTAACATGTGGTCAACAGTGAGGATGGCTGGGGGTGGGGAGGAATGGAACAATGTGAAGTAACTCTGATTTGTTGGGACAAAAAGCCACTCTGACTCAGGCATAAGTGCATCTCCCAAATAAAAAAACATGTAAATAAAGAACAGATACCACAAGCTGGCCCTTTCCTTGCCACACATTACTTAAAAATAGAACAGACACATGCCTTATCTCCTATTCCATCCTAAAGAATCCATTTGGATACTCTTCTGTAAGTGCTGTAGCTATTCCCACTCAGTACACTTGGAACAGTGGGTTAGAAGGATCAGAGAGCATTTCATATCAAAACCACTGCAAGACAACACATTTACGGGCACTTAGTGTTCCCTGGGAAGTGAAGAAGTATGGATGCTAACTCACTGGTGTATGATGCTGTAGTGCTTCCTCCTCTAGATGTTGTGCTCAGTGCAGCCTTAAGCAACCTGTGTGCTCCTGAGATGACCAACTCCAAAATTCTTGGAGGAACTGTTATTACTCATTTGTTGCCTACTTGTAGTTTTTCTAGAACTATACACAACAAGAAAGACTGTTTGGGGAAATGTATGCCTTGAGCCAACCAAGAGGTCAGAGAAACACCAGCCCTGATGAACACCATATTCAAGAGTACTTGGGCTTCTCTACTATTCCATTTGGAAACCTCAACAAGCAGCTATTCAGCAGATCACAAAGTGGTTCACCACCAAGTGTTTACTCTTTTCCAAGGGTCAATCCCACCGACTTTTGAACTTGATACTGCCACTGACCTTAAGGCAGCTGCAATTAGGCTTGCTACACACAATTTAGATACTAGATTTCTTGTGAGTTTTGAGATGGAGGCAGAAGCAAACAATGCCACAAAGGCAACAATTGGAAAATTGTGTCTGGTGTCTGCATATTGCCAGTATGATATCCAACTTAACAATATGGTGTTTCATAGATGAAAAATTCTTCTATGGCTCACTTCTGCCAGGAGTTTGTGCAGAGATCTAGGCATTTATACACACTGAGGCCGACCTGAAGGAAAGACATGTTTCCGTATAAAGGCATTAAAGTTTGAGGGTCATGAGCGCCTCGGTCCAGGAAACTTTCTGAACTTTGTGCAAAGTTGCGAAACTCGCACAAGAGGAAACTAGGTGGCACATTCCAGGACTACAGATCAACCAAGGAAGGTCTATCAAGGCTGACCCTCCAAAAAGAGGAAGTGGAATCAGTGTCTACCGAGATGGCATCAAAGAAGCCTTTGGAGCAACAGATGAAGACATTAATGCTTCAAGGAGCCAGCTTTGAAGTGCGCCCTCAGAGAGAGGAAAAAAATTGACATCAACTCAATTAAGATGATTCAAAATCATAAATAAATATAAAAAAAAAACCACTGCAATAGGTTGGTTTTGTGTTTTCCCAATGCATGTTCCATCCAAAGCAGGTGCTTTTTCTTTTATTTATGTGTGGAGAGAGACTCATCTGTTGAGTAAATAGCACTGCTCATCCTACAGTCGTCTGTCCTCATGGAGTCTGTGACATCTTCTTCTTCTGAGTCATCATCCTCTTCCTCCTCCTGTGCTGAGGAACTGGAGGTGGGCCCTTTGCAGGTCTTCAGGTGGCGAGTGAGATGGTACTTGGTTAGGTAAGCCTTTGTACATTTTTCACAGACATAATCTCGTTTTCCTTCGTGAGAATTGAGATGCTTCTTCAAGTGGTTTGTTCTCAAGAACAGCTTATCACACTTTGGACACTTGATCTGGCGTTCTCTGAGAGGAACACAAGAACAATATATGCTATGGGAGTGCAAACAACAACGTAGGCACAAATACTCACTAATCTCAGGCCTTTAGGAATTTTTAGAACCAGACTGTGTTTCTCCTTCCAGAGTACTATGCAAACAGGACCACCCAGTATAGGTTTCTTTGACTGAGTATGAAACCTGTGAAGTTCACTCAAGTTGCACAAATACCTGTAGTTTGTTCCCTTCCATTAATACGAAGTATTTACAGTCTGCAACTGCCTTTCCTTGTTCTTAGTGTATATTCTGCTGGCTTTCAGTTTTATATTTTCACAAGCAAGATTCCATGAACATTTCTGTATTTGTATGTTTTTCTAATATTTTCAATATTTCTAGTATTGAGAAGATATATACAAAAGAAATACATACTTGAATCAAAAAAAGCACCCACATTCAAGGTCAAAAAGATGAGACCTCTGCTGTTTTCTATACACTAAGCAAGCACCCCACCAGAGAACTACATCTCGAACCTTGAAACAAATCATAAAATACCGTGTTCACCCCTGGGAGACCAAACTTGAAACTAACCAACAGGACAAGCTGCAGAAACTATAAAGACATGTGCTCTGATAAAAAGATCTAAGTAGAAGCATGACAGTAACCACAAACTATATAAAAAGCTGTTAGTTATAGAACTGATAGCAACTGGGGTTGTAACTCAGTGGTAGAATACTTGCCTAGCATGTGGAAAGCCTTGGTTTTGATTCATAGCACATATCATTACTGCCCACCCTCCAAAAAACATTAAACCTATATTTAAACCTTTGCAAAAGACAGATGTCAGAATGAAGGACAGACACTAATAGAGGCTGGAACAAAACTTGCCCCAAAATTACACTGATTATGTAGTATTCAGAAAGATGTAACATCCTTATCTGTCAGAGACATTTTGAACATTAGTATATCCCATGACTCCTACTGATATTAAAAGACCTCCAGGGGCTCAGGAGTCAAGAGTGTATTGTTCTTGCAGAGGACCTCACTTCAGTTCCCAGTACCCACTCTGAATGGCTTACAACTGCCTCTCAGCTCTACGAGATCTGAGGTTCTCCCTATTCTGACTACGGCACTCACGTGTACACAAACATACATATACACTTAATTTAAAATAAATCTTAAAGAATAATGAGGGTAAATTTAGCTGTGGAGGTATACTCCTATAATCCCACTTCAAGGCAGTGGGGAAAGATAAGAAAAAAGCAAGGCTGGGGCTCTAGTCCTGGCCAGTTATATTAGAATCCCTAAGGTGGGATCCTGACATCAGTTGATCTTAATATTCTCCCATGTGTGTATAACAGGCACTGTTATAGGCTGAGTCTTAAACCCCAAATTCCTATGTTGAAGTCCTAATCTCTAGAGTGAGGTGGGCTTTTTGGAACTGTGTTTAGACATAGTAGAGAATATGGAACCTGGAAATGTGTCTTAAAATAAAAGAAGAAACTGAAGCTCTTGTTCTTGCTTACATCCATCTCACCATATGTAAAAGGAACTTTTATTCAACTGTTTGAGTCATTGTCTCCAAGGATTATGGCCTCTGTGCTAACCTAAGCCTAGTCCTGGAAGCTTCTAGCCTTGGTACAATCTAACCTAGGCCTTGAATGTTTTCAGCCTCTGAGACTTACTGCTTAATAAGCTCATCCTTTATAGGTCTTTCTGAGCTCTCAGCTGTTCTGGCTCAAACTCCTCTGCCAACTGACTTATTCAAACTGGCTTTTCTCTCAGCCTCTGAATTGCTCTGCTTGGCCTCAAACTAACTCCCACACAATCTGCTCTCATCTCCTGGCTCCTTCTCACTCTCTGGCTCATTCTGTCTTCACCTATGTCTAGTTGTTCTCTCATTTAACCTCTCTCTGTAAAACTCTCCCAGTAAAGCTGCCGCCTCTTAAGTAGCTTCCCTTTCCTCTTCTCATGAGTTAGGTGTATCCTATTCTGTCAAATCTTCTCTAATTTGTCACTTTTTCTGCCACTCAATTAAGAATCATTTTCAAACATGGGTGCTTCCTTTTACAAACTAATTTTACCTTCATTTTTTGGGATTAAAGGCATGGACCACCATGTCTGGACCTGATATCTGCTCTATCAGGCAGGCCTTGAACTCAGATCTGCTTGCTCCTGTCTCCTGGATTAAAGGCATGTTTGTATTCCAGCCTAATCACACAGACCTAGAAGGTCTTTGGATGTAATCTCTTGTCAGAGAAGCCATGTTCTGAATTATAATTCCTATATACCACCTACCTTCCAACTATAAGGCTGGGGCTTAACAGTGTTATTTCCTCAAAGCTCTGGAGGAATAGGGCAGGGAGCTGGCTCATTCTGCCAACTGTCCAACTGCCAGCTTAATCACAGCTACTTCCTCCCCATGCGCTGCTGCTATTTACAGTGTTATGGGCATCTCATTCGAGCTCTCATACTGTACGACTTCTAGTAAATAATCAGATCAAATTTTCCAAAAATTGACATTATTAATGAAACTAAAAGATATGTCACCAAACATGACATCCCTTTCCTAAGTCTCTCGGCTTATACAACTAATATTGGTGAGCTGAACTCTTAAAAAATGCTAAACTGTTTCTCTATTAACCACAATTTCAACACACAGATACACCCTCAGCACAGAACTGCAGGCAGTGTATAAGGGAGCCAGATCTGTTCACAGCTCACCATTATTCTGAAAATTAAATTCAATTTTCTAGGTAGACCTTCAACAGGGACGTAGCTCAGTAGAGTACCTATCTAACATCCAGAGCCTGTGCTGGATCCCCAGTAGAGCATAAATGGTGGTGCACTAATATTATCTTATTATCATCCCTAACCACTGGTAAGTTAGTTCAAGGCCAGTCAGAGATACACATGAGATCTTATCTCAAAAAAGAGATTGTGGTACTGGGTCTGCTTCCCAGCACTCTTTCCAAAGTACTCTGTTTTCTAACAAAAAGAAACAGTGTTCTATGTTCTTTGCTTCTATGTTTCTGCCTATGGTGTCTTCACACTCTTGCCACCACCTAGAATATCATTCTAATTCCTTACCCTTCTCCATTTTCTCAATTCTAACTGATCTTAAGACTAAGCTCAAACTACGAGGAAGTGAGGACAGGACCCTGGCCTTAAGCTAGACGACTGCCCTATTATTTAGCTGTACTGCCAACCATTTATTTTGCTTTGTTTTGTTTTTTTGTTTTACAAGATGGGGTTTCTTTGTATAATATAGCCTTGGCTGTCCTAGATTTAGCTATGTAGACCAGGCTGGCCTTGAAATTTCAGAGATCCACCTGCCTCTGCCTCTGCCTCCCAAGTGCTGGAATTAAAGGAGTGCCCAGCCTGTAAGTTTGTCTTTATTTCTGTGTGCGAATGTTTTGCCTGCATGTATGTCTGTGCACTCCTTGCCTGCGTGGTGCCCAGAGTGGCCAGAGAGCATGCTGGATCCCCTGGGGCTAGAATCAGAGTTATAGACTGCTGGGACCCTTTCTGCGGGGGCTAGGAATCAAATGCAAGTCTTCTACACGAGTAATCAGTGCTCTTAACAACTGAACCACTTCTCTAGCACCCGCTTATTTTTGTTTTGACTGGCCTCTCACAATCTGTCTACCTCAGCCTCCTGAGTGGATGAGAGTATATTGCTATGTCAGGCTAAAGTTCTGATTTTCTATGATCTTCAACACCCAATGCAACACAGCATGGCAACTATTTACTTATTTGTTTCACTTCCTAAAATTGGAGCTCTTTGAAGATAATGACAGTGTCTTTCATCTCTATCTCTATCTCCTAACACAACACTGAGCATCAAAGATGTCATTTTAAAAACTTACTGATAAGTAAAATGTTTTAGAAACTTGGATAAAAATGAATACAAAGAATGTATAAAAATAAGAAAAGAAACAGAAAAGTGAAATCTTCCCACAATAAAGCCCTAGCACTGCTTGGTTTGTCTGGACACTAGACTGTACAGGCCCTAATGCAGATGCTCACTGACTACCTCAGGTTCAGGGAGGCACATACAATGGTTCACCACCAGCAGACAGCATCCTCACTGCAGGGTACTTACTGTGTGTGGATGAGCACATGCTGCTTGAGGTCCTGCCTCCGCATGAACAGCTTGTCACAGTAGTCACACTTGAGATTCTTCTCACCTGTGTGGATGACCATGTGTGACTCCAGGTGAGCCTTCTGGGTGAAAGACTTGTCACACAAAGTACACCTGTAATTCTTCTGACCTGCAAATTAAGACATCACACTGAGAATAAAATAATTACAGATTCTCAGACAAGCAAGCATGATTGGAGAAGTAGCCCAAGCAAGAATCAAGCAGAACTGAATCATGTGTGGCACTTCACTCTCTATGCTATCTAGCTAAAAACACTTTAAGCCATTCCATTTATAACCTAAACTAAAGCTGGGAAAGCCAGTAAGTCTGACCTCCTAAAACCTTAAAGTACATATATATCTGTAGCTGGCACAGCATACAAACTTTGAAGTGAACGAAACATTATGATATCAGTGCATACCTAATTTAAAAGAACTTGGGAGTCAGCCATGTAACAGAGTTGATAGAATGCTTGCCTAGCATACCTAAAGCCCTAGATTCAATTTCTAGCATCATATTAGCCAAGTATGGTGGTGTATGCTTCAGAGCCCAACACTTGGGAAGTAGACACAAGAGGGTTAAAAGTTCAAGATCATACTCAGCAAGTGTGAGGCTAGCCTGAGCTAATAAGACTCATTTCAAAAAAGAAAGTAATAACTCAAAAACTGTAGCACTTATCTACAAATCTATAACCCAACATTTCCACTGAATAATTTATATTTTTCTTTCTTTTTTTTAAAACACAATATGATCTCAGAAAGCAGAAATGAAATCAAATCCAAGTGTTTTTTTTTTTTTTAAATAGGTAAAGGCCTAGCAAATCTTTTTATTTATATATATATATAATGTATACAATGCTCTGTCTGCACACACACCTGCATACTACAGGAGGGCACTAGGTCTCATTATAGGTGGTTGTGAGCCACCATGTGGTTGCTGGGAATTGAACTCAGAACCTTTAGAAGAGCAGCCAGTGCTCTTAACCTCTGAGCCATCTCTCCAGCCCCCAAGGCCTAGCAAATCTTGTAAAAAACAAAAACAAACAAAATGAGGAGAGACGGGGAAGGGAGGAAGAAAAAAAGAAAGAAGAAAACTTTAGGGGAGTTTAGCTTCTGCAGGACAAACCGTCTCTGCTCAACTACCCATTTTTAATAAAATGGACTGAGGAAGAAACTTCCTTTTAATTATTTGTTCAACAAATGATTCAACCAAGAAAATTAAAACCTCACTGGTTATTTTGAAGCCTATCTGGGGAGGTCAGGGGAGAGCTGAACGACTGGAGAGATGGGCCAATGGTTAAAAGCAATGGCTCATTGGCTACTCTTGGCAGAGGATCTGGGTTTAGTTCCCAGCACCCTAAAGCAGCTCATAACCATCTGTAACTCAAATTCCAGCGATGGATGTCCTCTTTTGTCCTACACAGGCACTGCATACAAATGGGACACATATAGACAAAATAATCACATATAAAATACAAAAAAAAAAAAAAATCGTTTTTTAAAGAGCTTGTCTACATGGAGTTTAGAAACTACTGAAACTTCAAATACTGAAATCGGGCTCCTTCAAACTGCACAGTATGACTCCTTAAAAGTGAAATACCTTTGTAACTGGTAGTAACACCCTTAGAGGCCTTAGGTTTCCACCTCACAAAGCTTAGCACTCAATGCTATCCCACAGCTACCTAGACACTTACTACGACATATTACAACTCTACCTCCAATAATTTCTTTCTGCCCAGTCTTCAGAGCTGCAATTTCTAACTAATATAAAAACTCCATGCCAATGGTTCCATACTAATATAAAAACTCCATGCCAATGGTTCAATACTGCTTACCTGTATGTATTTTGAGGTGTGTCCGTAGGTTGCTTGGATCACTAAAAGCTTTGCTACAAAAATCACACTTGTGGGGCTTCATACCCATATGACCCATAAAATGAACGTGGAGTTTGGAAGGAGAGATAAAAGCCTGGGGGCACATTGAACACTTCCACTTCCTTTCTTTGCTGTGGCTTGGCCCATGGCTGCTGCTGTGGCCCTGGCTAGGGAGATGGTTATGGATATGGCTGGTCAGATGAGCTTTGAACTCTAAATAGGAATTGCACTCCTTGCCACAGTTACAGAGGTGAACATCTGGGTGTTCAGGAACACCTTTAAAAAATTAAATCAATATCTCCCGTTACTTTAACTTCAAAATTATTCTTGAGATTAATAACTGACAATTACAATTCCCATTTCTACCAAAATGTCTAACTTGCTCACTACCTGTCAAATTAAGATGCCTTGTTCAGTGCCATAGTCCTATCATCTAAAATCGTGCACCAGGGCACAGAAAAAGCATAGAATTGATAAGAGTTCTTTTCCTAGAGAAACCATTTACATTTTGAAGTGCACAAAAACTCTTAACAGACCTGTGTCAAAGTGACACAGTGGAAAGAAAACAAAAACACATTAAATCAAACCCAAGGGACTTTGCTAACTTCTAAGAAGTTCAAAAAGAAGATCTGGGAATTTACAAGCCCCAATGCAAAGCCCTACAACAAAAGCTTGTTTATCTGAAACAGTAACACAAACCTCGTGAAGAACTACGATTTCTGTGGCCTCACACACAGCTAGGAGCTTGCTTTCATAAAGCTGCCACTGTAAAATCATTACCAAACTGTCTTCCTGGTCACTGATGATACTGTACTAGACTCATGTAAGAAATCTGACAGACTTACCAATTTGTTGAGCATAATCCCGACTATAATAGAAAAGCAGTTCATTTTCAGGAGGGATGTCTTGTGAGGTACAGAAATAGATTTTTCCATCATGGGGATAGGCCACCAAATTCTGTTCTTCACGGTTCCTACATAATCACATTTAACAGGTGCTCATGCTGATTGCAAACTTCTGGCCTCAATTTCCCTGTTTCAGCCTCTCAAATAGCTGTGCTACAGGTATATACCACCACACTTGGCCACAGATACTTTTTATTCAGTTCTATGGGTCAAACTAACGCTTTCCACATACTAATCCTGCAATCCTATCAATAAGCTACATCTCTTGTCCCTTGAGTACAGTAATTTTGACATACATACTCATCATGCCGTACCCTCTATAGAATATCCAATAGAAAAGCTTAGAAAGAACTATTTTCTCTATCATTTCTGTAACTCTACCCTCCTTATTAGGGATTATAAAGAAACATAATTCTTGCTTTAACTAATAGGTGGTTTTTCCTTATAGTCAGAAACGTCAGTGTGTTACTAGCTGCGAAACGAGTAAGTAGCAAGACATGGTCAACTCACATCTGTAATTCCAGCACTTGAGAAGCAGAGACAGGACTGGTTATAGGAGGGTTGCTCCAAGTTCCAGGCCAGCATGAAGTACATAATGAAATCCTTTCTCAAACCAAACAAATGATAAACAAAATGAAGTGTGCCTGTTTATTTTGACACAGGGTCCCAATCTGTTTTCAGACTGACCTAGAACTTGCTATATAGGCCAGAGCAGCCTAGAACTTGCAGACATGCTATCTCAGGCTCCCAAGTGCTAGACGCTGGGTATTTTAGGCCTGAGCCACAATGTCCATGAAGTCTTAAAAATTCTTTCCCATTGAACAACTAGCTGAATGGTAACAATCCCATTATCTAAAGTACTGTTACCTGGCTTTGCGCACAAACATCATCCAATTACACTCATTTTCATCAGCTGTAATGATGTAGAACTCTAGGACACCATTGTGGTATATCTGCCAACAGAAGTCAGGCATAAATGTTAAGTGAACTGAAATCCTTTCATTTATTCATCTAGTAAATGCTTGTTATTGCCCTTTTCACAAAAGAGAGCATTAGAAGTCTTTAGGTGCTGCTCCATGTACAAAATGACTTTCCTCTTGAGTGCCTTTGGCTAAAAATACAAAATACAGTCTACTTAGCTATCCATCTTTATCAACACTACCAGGCAGGTACAGTGGGAATGACTGCCCCCTAAGGGGCATTTTTCCAGTCAGACATCAAAATTACAATCCCCTATGATGCACTGCCTCACCACTTCAATTTTGCACCTATCATTCTTCAAGATTTTATATAAATGTTACTAGTATAGCTACTGATGTCAAAACCTTATATTCCCATTAGGTAACTAGAGACATAATTGTAGCTAGTTCTAAAGCTAGTTCCTACGCCAAATGATTGAGGAATGTTTAGTTAACTAAAAATAACTTTTAATTTGTAAACAAAGTCCATAGCCTTGGCAGCCATAAGAAATCAAAATGCATAAAGTGATTCAAATTGGGGCTGAGATAGCCTGGTGGTTAAGAGCACTAGCTACTCTTGCAGAGGCTCTCGGTATGGTTCCCAGCTCCCACATGGAAGTTCACAACTGTCTTTAACTCCAGTTCCAGGAGCCCTCTGACATCCTCTTCTGGCCTCCATAGATACTACACACATGCAGTACACATACATTTAGACAAAACACCCATACATATAAAGATAAATCTTTTCTAAAGACATCTAAATCATTGCATGAATTAATCTACAAAATGAAAACTATCCATTTATCCCCTATTCATTCAACAGCTGGAACACTGTTATACAACTTTTATATCAGCAATAAGAGAGAATGTAATACAAAATAAACAATGACAATGAATGCCCTCAGTCCTAGTGGATTTTTAAACTATCACAAAATAATGAAAACAGCCCAAAAAACTGTCATGCATGGTGGTGGCCTGGCATAATCCCAACATCTGGGAGGCTGAAGAGGAGTTTGAAGACAGCTTGAGCTACAGAAAAACAGCAGCAACCAAAAGCCAGAGAAGTGTCTTCAACACTGACCTTCCAAACATGGTTAACTGCCTTGTCTGTCCACTCTGCTACTTCCATGGAGTGGCTCTGCTGACCAATTAGAGGCCCGAAGCAAGTCCGCACAGGAATGGTTTCTGCAGTCCACACACCTATCAATGGAAGGACACCAACTACACAATGATTTAAACAACTAATAAGGGTATTGAGACAGGAGTTTAACCCACACAAAGAATCTCATATTCACTAAAGCTAACACTTCTGATGTGTGAACAATTCAGAGACAGCTAAGATGTGTAAGTCCTAGCTTACAGTAACTGACAAAAGTAGCCAACAAAATGGGCCACTGGGTAAAAGCACTAGTTACAAAAGCTTGATGTACATGAGTTCCCCCTGAGGAATTCCACTCCCAAAAGTTGTTCTTTGCCCTTCACCTGTGTATCATGTATCATGGCATGTGTGCACCTGTACTCACACACACTAGATATACACACAATAATAAAATTAAATTGAAATGTGGAAGGAAAATCAAATTCCTGCTGTATACACACAAAACCTATGTCCTAGCAAACATATTTTAGAATAAGCAAAAAAGAGACCAAAAAACATTTTATCAAAAACCAGCAATTTATATATATCAAGCTTCTAAACCCCCTTATGCTTAATGTACTGAATAAGCTATTTAGTGCTTTCAAGATTCATTACCAAGTTGAAGCTGAAGAATAAACCAATCTCATATTTTCAAAGGACTGGCACAGTAAACCTGTGTTTAAATCAGATATAGGCAAATTTGCCCTGGTAGTCTTGATTCCTTCCTGAGGATTACTACACAGGTACATTTTTCTAAAAGTCTGTATATCATCAGTTTATCAGATAAATTTTCCATGTTTTAGTGGAAAACAAAGACAAGTTTTGAGCAGCACAGTGGCTTGGTAGTTTTGAGTAGATGTCACAGCTGAGAACAAAAGTTGGCAAAGGCTCGGGCCAGGATTTGTGCTTCTATTTAATTCTGACTCTAAGGGGAGGCTTCCCACCTAAGTTTTCATGGACTTTACTGTTCTCACCATCAGAGAAGTCAACTATTCTCTAACATTAAAAACTTTATTCCAAAAATTCATAATTTTAAGCCACTGAATTTAAGATCAAATAATCACTAATTACACACATATACTTTTACAACTCCACTCCATAAAGGAGACTTGAGAGTTTGTGGTTTCTTCCAATATTCTTACCAACTTCTGTTCCCACAATGGACTGGCGGAGAACAAGCTGCTTCGGAAGGGATAGTCTTGCTCTGCTCTCTATTGGTGTGTCAGGAACAAAAGTCACTGGTCCATGATCAGGGCAGTCTGAGGGATAGGCTCGGTCACAAAGAGTGCACCCTATAAATAGCACATGTGAAAGACACAAATGCAAATGGGTGTACTTCACATAAGCTAAATTACCACTTGATACCAAATGCTAATTACTAAATATTAACCAGTTTTTTTTTTAAAAAAGGCCTTAGTGTAACACATAATATAAATTTGGACTGTTTTTTGTTTTGTTTTTTTAATTTTCAAAATAGTTTTGAAAGTCATCCTGGACTTGCTCTGTAATACCAGGCTAGTCTCAAACTCACAGAGATCCTCTTGCCTCTGCCTCTTGAGTGTGTGTGCACTCAAGGTGTGCAGCGCCACCATCACCCTGTTAATTTGAGACTTTCAAGACTAATACAGAGGAGGGGCTCCTTACTGACTGGCTTCTGTACCTTTGGACCTTTTTGTTCATTTATATTCAGACACTCTTCTGTACCCTTACCAGATGGTTTCATCCCACTGCCATAGCCATGACTACTACCCCTTACTTAGGTAATCCCTCTCTGAGCTCCATTAGATATCTCTGCTGAGCACCTTACACACTGAATCGATGTCTAAAATGGATTCATCACTCCCCTCTTCCCCAAAAAAAACACCAATCTATTCTCACCTTTCATCATACTGTTTATGTAGTCTCTCATGCAGAAAATCGAGCTTTCGCCTTAGCACCACCCCTTTCCACCTTACAGGTTACTAATGTCAGTTCCACAAATGTTCTACTTTCTTCATCTTAGTTACTTCTAATATAAGGTAAGAAAATAATCACCTTTCACGTAATTTCAGCACTATCTTCCTACAATAAATGCTTCTAACAAATCTAACAGCTCACAATGCAGTAGTTCCTACTTGTCTCCCCAAGTGACTGTTCCCTCAACCCCATTTTCTACTACAGTCATCTGAACCATTTACGACTCTGTTCACTCTAGGCACTTATAGGTGCCAACAGCTGTCTTCCCATCAATTGCCTACCATATTCCCTTTCCTTAGGCCTAAATTAACACATATCCTCTGTAACTAATTTGCCCTGACCTTTCCACAGCTTAGTTAGCTGTTATTCAAGCTCCTTAAGCACCATGAACTTAACCCCAAAGTTGCATTTTTACTGTTATTCTGTACTATAGTAGTCCATGTCTTGGCCATGCTTCCTATCAGGCTAAGGTTCCTCACAGTTTGTACTATCTTGATAGACTGCCATGACCCCTGCATCTGGCAGGGCACAACAGATAGTGAGCACATGAAAGTTTATGGATTAAGCACATATTGAAATTAAGAAATCTACCATATTTATTTATGTTTTCTACCTAATAAAAAAGAACTTTTATATGCCCAACTATAGTAATTTATACACTCTAAGACAAACCACTGAATATCAACCTACATTTTCCCATAGTTATAAAAGTGATCTAGCAACCTTTTTCTTCTGGCATATGCTGAAAAAGCACAATGTGTATCACCAAGATTATCTGTGTTAAGTCTTACTCCTGTAATGCTATTTGGATAATACCTTGAATATTATAGGGCTAATTGGTAAAATATAGACATGAATATATACTCCAGGGAGTCACTGTAAGAGCCAATAAATTGTGAATGTATTACTTGACTTGAGGAAATGACACCAGATTAATATAAGGACAATATGAGGACAAAGAAAACTTCCAAAATGAAATTCCTTTCTACACTCCCTTAATCAGCATCAGACTATGACAAACACTAGCCAGGACAATGGCATTTTAAAACCAGTATTTGGGATCTGGAGAGATGGCTCAGCAATTAAGAGCACTTGCTACTCTTGCACAGGACCCACATTAGATTCCCAGATGACTCAAACCATGTGTAACTCCAGTTCCAAGGACTCCAATATTGCCCTAGCTTATATAAGCACTATGCATGCATGTGGTACGTGTGTGTGTGTGTATGTATAACCCTCAAACATATATAATTTAAGAAAACAAAACCCATTACTTCCAAAAGAGAACAGTGAAGCACACTTACAAATTGTAAACATGGCTGCCATGTTTTCCTTGTTTGAACTGGAGTCTTCCATTTGCAGTGAAGGTGGTACAAAAGACAAGCTATCTGAGGGTACATCTACATGACCTGTCCCCATAGCAACCTCCTGTGTGATGGAAGAGACAGCCACAGGCTCTAGACTAAGGCCAACTTCATGGAGGGAAACTGATTCTAGGGAGGCAAGGTTGTGTGAGGTAGAGAGTGCCACGCTTACAGAGTTGGTGCTCATGGCCACGGTGTGGATGGAGTCACTGAGGGCACTGTCAGACATCCCATTGACCCGATTTGCAATGTGGTCTGTCTCCATAACCACAGGAAGCTCCAGACCATTCCCATGAATGGGTATCACACCACCATGTCCTACAGTGTCTGCGGTAAGGTTGTTGCTCACGGAATCCACAGAGAGAGGCTCATGAGTTCTAGAGCCATTTGGGATTTGGGAATGTTCTCCTGTAACACCGTCCATGGTAAGCTCCTCTGCCATTCCATCTGTAGAGATTGGGCTGGTAACCCTAGAAACATTCTCCATAGTGATTGTTGTGTCCAATGCCACTTCGTGGCCATCATTAGGATGAAGACTTTGGGCACCATGCGTGTTCACAGAACGAGAGTCAATTGAAACAACGCCTAGTTCTAATCCAACATTTCCATTGGCCTGATAGGGATCTAGTGCCGAAGGGTTGTTGGTGATAGATAATGCTGTATTTCCATCAACATTTATAGAGTTGGGGTGGATGTACTGAGGAGGTGGTCTGTCAGCTAAATAAGATAAAATGCCTGAGAACAGAAGAGATAACAGAGATATTTAGCACATTATTAAATACAAGAAATTGCAACTGCTAGGAATCATTTTCCTCACAAAAAAACAGCTAAGTTAGATAACCTGCTATCTCTTTAATCATTATCTATTCAAGTAGTACATATACCATTCTGAGTTCCTCTATGAAATTCAAGTCCTAAACACATGAAGCTGATCTGAAGCCAACTAGAAACAACTTAAATGGGACCAACCTCTAATAGCTATGTGGTTGCAATTCTTTAGTCCTAAGATGCTAAAATTTGCTGTATTAAAAAAATATGTAAGGGGCTGGAGAGACGGCTCAGAGGTTAAGAACACTCGCTGTTCTTCCGAAGGCCCTGAGTTCAATCCCAGCAACGACATGGTGACTCAGAACCATCTATAGTAAGATCTGGTGTACAGGCAGAATGTTGTATAAATAATAAATAAATCTTTAAAAAATATGTAAATAAACAATAAAATTATTCAAGAATTTGTTGCAAAACTATCAGAACACATTAAGTTATTCAAAACAAGCATATTTTACAGAAACATTTTGGGAGACAGGGGCAGGTTGGGATCAGACCCAGGGTCTCAAAAAAAAAGTCTTGAATTACATCCCAAATCCAAAGCTGTGCTTCTAAGGATGTGGGATGTCACCTGCAGTACTGCTAATGGGAGAGTATATACTAAAACACAATATATTTATGAAACTCAAATACACACAAATACACCCCTAAAAACATCAGCTATAATGACAACAAAGTCTGGAAAAACCAAGCTGCCCAACAAATAAAAGACTGATGTAATAAGCCAGTCAATATCCATTCAGTAGATTTTTATTTTTGAGATAGACACAGGCTAATCTGAATTGCTGGTCTCCCTGCTTCAGCCTCCCAAATGTTGAATCACAGGGTATGGTACTTAAAAAGCCCATTATGGATGTCAGGCTTAGTGGCAAACCAAGGCAGGCAAATTGCTGTGAGTTCAAAGCCAGTCTGGTCTACATAGTGAGTCCTTAGGCCAGCCAGGGCAATATAGCCTATTTTAAAAACAAGGATAGGAAGGGAGTTATGAAAAAACACCGAGGGGGCTGAACAGATGGCTCAGAGGTTAAGAATCCTTGCTGCTCTTCCAGAGGCCCTAAGTTTAATTTCCAGCAACCACATGGTGGCTCACAACCATCTAAAATGAGATCCGGTGGTGCCCTCTACTGGTGTGCAGGCAGAACACTATATATGTAATAAAAAAATAAATCTTTTAAAAAAAACCAAAAATCATCCAATGGGAGGGCAAAATACTAAGTGAAAAAAGACACACAACTGTAGGAAAATCACGGTCTTAATCATGAAAAATTGTGACAACCAATACTTAAAAATAGAAGACAGAAGTATACACCAGAAACATAGTCATGGCTTCCGTTTCTCCAGGTTTGCCAAATTTTCTGAAAAGAGTATATATAATACATTAGTAATAAAAAGTATATATAATACATTAGAATAAAAAGTCAAAAAACTTTAAGCAGGGCAGGTAGCTGGTTAAATACAGAACTAAAAATTCTGAACCAATGTTTAGTGATCATAATTCTCTTTAAAAAGATTGACCATAGGGAACTGGAAGATTGCTCAGCAGGTAAAACACTACTATCTAAACCTAAGAACCTGAGTTTGGATCCACAATACCCACATGTAAATTCCAAAAGTGCGTGGTGGCCCACCTACAATCCCACAGATCACTAAAGCAAGCTAGTTAGTTATAATAGCTATTTAATCAGCAAGTTCTGAGTTCAGTGAGAGGCCCTGCTTCAATATTTAAGGTGGAAAACAATTGAGAAAGACAAGCAACAATAACCTCTAGCATCAACACATACCTGTGCACTCATATATAAGAATGCACACCACACACATATACAAAGAAAAAACTCTTATGTAAACCAGGCACAGTGGGGCTCATCTATAATCTGACATTGAGGAGGCAGAGCTAGAGAGAATAACTTCAAGTTTGAGGCCAGCCTTGTCTTCATAGCAGGTTCCAGGGCTACGAGCAAGACCCTGTCTCAATCCAACAACAAAAAACTTCATGCCTATAATCTAGCACTTTGAAGGTAGAAGGCAAGATCGGGAGCAAGGTCATTCTCTGCTGTATCTGCAGTTAGCTACCCAGTCTCAAAATAAAAATGGCTTCAGAGGTACTTCTATGGTAAAGTGCCTTTCTAGCATGTATGAGGCCCTAGGTTCAAACACCACTACTTCAAAAAAATTAAAACAGCAGCAGCAAAACTCTGCAAAAATAAAAAGAATTACCTAATCAAACTGCTTCCTTAATATTGAACTGTATGCATGTTCTAAGCAAAGCACACCAATATCAACAAACCCAGAGATTGCTATCCAATAACAGAGAAAAATATGTTAATTCCAATCTCCAGAAGCTAATTGGTTCTCCCCCCCCCCATCACCCCACATTCCCCCAGCACAAGTAACTATAAAACTTACCAGGTAGAATTGTTCTGAAGTAACTGCTCTCTAGGTGAGGGTAAGGTGGTGGAGGTAGGGTATAGTTTCTTTCAGGTAACCCACACATCACTCCTCGATCTCCAATGCCCATGGGAAGCATCAGAGACAAGGCAGAAGGCAGAGAGCTCAGAGAGGGACCCAGGTTTGGAATTGCGACTGGGAGACCTTTTAAAAAAAAAAAAAAAAGTTTTTCTTAATTAAAAGATTAGTATGTAAAAACCACTTACCAGACTCTCAGAATTTAACCCAATTCACAATTTAACTGTAACCCAAGTCAGTACTGGGAAACATCTATAATGTAATTAAACAAACAGTTCTAGTCCCCAAATTACTTCTCAAAAAAGGTCTATGTATCCCAGGCTTACCCATGGTCCTCTGGAATGCTGGATTACAGATGTGCATGACCAAACCTGGCCCTTAAATTAGTATATTTTTAAAGTGCTAAACTGATCCTCCAGTTGTGTTTCTCCTAAATAGCAAAACAAGTAACAATCTATTTAAATATCAGCTAAGCGAACAAATTACATTAAAAATAAAAACAACAAAACGGGGTCTGGAGAGATAGCTCAGTGGTTAAGAGCATGTACTGCTCCAGAGAACCGCAGTTTGATTCCCAGCAACCATATCACGGTAACTCTAGCTCCAAGACAAAACTCTGCAAGACACCTGCCCTCATGTGTATATAGTTACACATAATTAAAAATAATTTTAAAAATCCTTAAAATAAAATAATTATTAAAAACAGAACCTTCGCAGGTGTGGTCTCTTACAGTGATAACTTTTTAAAGCTTTATTTTATTTTCCCATTTTTATCATTATACATTTCACTTTAAGAACACAAGAATGCTTAGCATGGTGGTACATTACTGTAATCCCAGTATCAGGAAGGCCAAGGCAGAAGGATTTTGAATTTGAGGTGAGCGTGGGCAACATAGTGAGATCCTATCTAAAAATGTAAAAGACAAAAACCAGGTATGTATGCACTTGGAATCCACCCAGATTTAAGTTAAATGTGAATCAGTATGTGTATATTTTCAGCCCCTTCTCTACATGCTGTACTTCACAATCAAGAGTCTGAAATTTAGACTATATCCACCTTGGATTACACCCATTTGCAAAATCGCTTAAATGACTTTTCCTGTGCCTAAGCATCAAATGAATATCCACCAATTTAGTAAGCACTGATCTGCATATTTTACAAAGAGGAGTATTTTTAATATAAGCCTTTTCCTCTTAATAAGACTATCTCCTAAAAGGAATGCCTAAGAGAGAAACAGATGAGTTTCCAATTTTTTAAAAGAAAGAGTTTCAAGGCAAACCCTGGCCTTCAACTCCTGATCTTCCTGCCTATATTCCTAAATGCTAAGATTACAGTCTAGTCCACTATGGTCTTTTAGGGGTTTTGTTGTTGTTTGTTTATTTTGGGCGGGGTTGGCGAGATGGCTCAGCAGCTAAGGGCATTTGCTACACTTAGAGAGGACCCAGGTTCAGTCTTAGCACATGGTAGCTCACAACCATCTCAAATTTCAGTTCCAAGAGTTCTGACTACCTGCTCTGACCTCTGTGAGGACCAAGCACACATATGGTACACAAAAGTGATCCCAAGTCTGCTTCAGATTATCAGTGTGTAAAGAAGTTCCATGTCTTCAACAAGAATCAGACAAAATACACAGACACACATACATCACATAAATAAGAATTATTTTTTAATTTCTTTTGCTGATACTTTGAAAAATACTAATTTTAATTTTAGCTGCTGCATTTTAGTAATTCAGGATATAGTTTTCTACGAAGAATTATTTAAACATCTTTTTCATATTATTTAAAATATTAAACAATTCTAATACATATTCCAATACAATATTACGATGCTACATATCCTTAAGAATCAATAGCTTGTTTCATTTCAATAGGAAAAGAAAACACAACTGGACAGTAAAAGGCTTTCAGAACCAGGTATGGTGGCACATACCTGTAATCCTAGCACTTGGGAAGTAGAGCCAAGGGGATCAGTGCAAGGTCATCCAGGTTATATTCAGATTGAGGCCAACCCAGGCTGCATAAGACCAGTTCTCAAACAAAACAAAATCTCCCAACAACAAAAAAGGAACTTAATTTATTAAGGCATGGAATATGGAAGAACAAGCCTCCCCTCCTCTATTTCTGAGGATGTGAATGCTCACAGAGAATGCCACATAAGAGCTCCACATCTGGCACTAATTTTCCATAAAACCAATCTTATACATTTCTACAGATGCTCAGTTTCCAATCTAAAAGAAAACAAGTCTGATTTCAAATGTTTTAGGAACTTAGTGAGGAAATCTAACTGATCCTCTTCTACTAGTTAAGGACATGACGTCAAAGTGTCAACCAGATGAGTGTGAGAAGCCCCGGATAAAAAGCCAATTTTGGTTCTGGATGAAAGACACTAACCCCAAAGAGACTATTAGAAAAAACTGCTACTCTCCATCCACATGGACCCTGCAACTATACAAAATATTTTGTAAAGGGCACTCACTAGTTTCTCTGTATCATCCTAAAACACACTCAGAACTGAGCACAAGGTTGAAGTGCAGTGGTTCTCCCTCCCACTCACCTGGGGCAGGGATGGCACTGTGAGAGGGAGAGGCAGCCAAACCCAGGTGACTTCCTGAGACTGGCAGGGCATTGCTCACAGAGGATGAAAACAGCTGCTCCATCCCCACTGGGCTCAAGTTCGTGTCATTCATCCTAGGAAAAAGCATACACAACGATTATAAACACAAGAGCCAAGCATCTAAGGATGGGGAAATGGGACCTGACCAACTGATCATTATGCACATGATCCTGAAACCACAGAAACCATGATTCAATGTTAACTAATCCATGTCAATGCTGTATACTATACACAGGATTGGAATTCAATCTGCCCTGTTCCAAGCACATGGATATATTCTGCAGCATGAGTCATGGTGGATTATTTTGCTTCTTTTGTTCATGGTGGTTACAAGCTCTATTTGGCTTATCAGCTCAAACCAGCAACTTTTAGGCATTTTAAGTACTTGAATAGTTTTACTAATCCTTTTTATAGTGGGTTAAAAGTCTGGGTCTGATTCAGATGGCATAAAGAAGCACCATGTTCTCCCTAAGAATCAGTATTTTCTTAAAAATCTGTATCTATACCTTATTAAACAATAATCTTAATACAGTCACACACTGAGGTTCATCATGCAAGCTTTGCTAGAACTCTACTAAAACAATTTTGGATTCTCACACTAATTCTGCAAAGTAAAGTAGATGAGGAATTAAGTGTCAAAGATATAACATATACCTCCAATCACAAGGCAGTTCAATAAAAGGGCAAAAGCCATCCTGCAAAAGATTGTCAAAGGTGTTCCAACACATCAGACTCTATTAATACACAGACCATTTTCAGAAGGCTGAAATACAAAGGAGTCAGCTTTTCCATACAGTCCATCCTACAGTGTCACTAATCACATCTTAGAAGGTAGTGCTGATGTGAAAAGACCATTACTGGAAGTTGTTATTCAAAGGCATTAGTTTTACCTAGGTGCGGTGACACAGAAAACTAGGGAGGTGAGGCAGGAGGACTACCAGAAGTTACCAGACTACCATGGACTGCATGGTAAACTCAGGGTCAGTCTACACTACACAGGAAAGTCTTGCTTCAAAAGTATATGGAGCTGTAGAGATGGCTCAGGATTAAGAACCCTTGCTGCTCTTCCAGAGGACTTGAATTTAGTCCCCAGTAACCATGTTCAGCTCCCAGCATTTACAACAGGTTGCTTCACAATCCTCCTGTACTCCAGGGGGTTCCACAACCTCCTAAAGCCTCAGCGGGCACCTTCACAGACAACATTGGCATAGACACATATGACTAAAACTAAATATTTTAAAATACATACATATGTATTAGTTTCTAATCAGAATTTAAAAATCATCACATTATCACTTACAGAAGCTAGACAGCAAGTTATTCAAAGGAGATCTCCAATGACTTCTCATCCTTACTCTGAATTCACTGCAACATATTCTTGCTGTGAGCCATTGATAATCATGAGCCATAATTTACTCCAGCCTCTCCTAAACCTCATACTTTTATGACAGTAATTCTTCAGAGGTACATAACTCTGAGTGTGCCTATGAGGGTGTTTACAGAGAGGTTTTCTTGTAAAAGTAAGAGGCACACTGAGTATGGTTGGGGACACCCACATTCAATGGGGTAGGACCTTACCTATAATAAGTAAAAATGAGAAAGCAAGCCCATCACCAGCATTTCTCTTTGCTTTCAGATTACAGGCTACCATGTAACTAGCCTCCCCCACCATAATAGATTGTGTCCCCTTGAACTAAAGTCAAATAAACCATCTTTCCTCAAATTGCTTCTTGTAATGTATTTTGTTATAGCAGCAATATAGTGTTAGCTAATCCAGTCTGTCATCTTCTTTTTTTTAATTAACATACATGTATGTGTATGAAGAAGAGTGTTATATGGTGGTCAGGAGGTAGTTTTTTTCAACTTTCATGCGGTTGAGGCATGGTCTTTCTTTTTGCTGTGCTATATATACTAACTGATCTACCAGCTCCTGGGTACCTCCCATCTCCCCTCGGCTGCTAGCATTAAATGAACACCACTGAATACAGCTTTTTATTTGGGTTCCAAGGACCTAACTGTCAGCCTCTCTACACAGCTAGTGCTTTTATTCACTGGGCCATTTCCCCAGCCCTAAAAGTTATCCTATTTTAATAATAAAGAGGAGATTTTAAGGTTAAAAAGACAACCTAAAATCATGTAACTAGACCTGATAAGCTAGGGTCAGATGGAAGTGGAGGAGGTCCTCCCCTATCAGTGGACTCGGAAAGGGGCAGGGAGGAGATGAGGGAGGGATGGTGGGATTGGGAGGGAATGAGAGATGGGGCTATGGCTGGGATACAAAGTAAATAACCTGTGATTAATATAAAAAAATAAAAATTATTATTAAAAAAATCATGTAACTAGTCAGATGTACAACTGAGTTTTAAAGTCAGACCTAATTTAAGATTTCCAATCTTAAATTTTGTTACTAAGCCTAGTAACAAACTACAAACAAAACTGTTTTTGCCTTTTACAGAGTCCTATTTACGTAAGAACCTAGCTAAACTGTGGGGTATAAAGTCCTATATAGGCCTGTTTCTTGAATTACAAATATATCTGTATGGACATCATCTAAGTATGAAAGACCTTAAAGCAATGCTCATTCATCACCCTGATGAGAGAACTAGAACCACATGGCAATTGAGGTACACTATCTGAAGGACCATACACCAACAAAAGTATGTTATTTCTCACAGAGTAAAGGAAACACCTTATAGCCTAAAAAAAAGCCATTGGTATTTTAACTGGAAAAGTTTCCAGGCTCCAGCTAGTTTAAAACAGACTTCTCTAAATTTTCCCAGCTGCAACCATACATAAAGCACAATCATCACTGAAACCACAAAGCCTACAATACAACATACCGATTACAATAAATTATTAGAGTTAAGTTGTAGCTTATCTCCCATTCCGAAAGCTCCCGAATGTTAAACTGTATGTCAGAATTTTAAAAAATAAAAATAAGGGGGGGCGGAGCCAAGATGGCGACTAGCACACACAGTTTCCAAGCTGTGGAAGAGAAAAAGTTCTGAGTTGATGAGTGGAAGAACTTCTGAAGCCAGGGAAACAACGGAGAGACTTTCTAAACAACAGGGAACATCGCCGGAGGTGAAAACCTTGGTCTCGGGTCACCCAGGGACTTGTTTGGGGAAGGTGAGAAACGATCCTTTGATCTCTTGGCACTCCCCTCCCCCAGACCTCCCTCCTCCTCGGCACAGCGGACTCGCCTTTCTCAGCGCAGACCTAACTGCCTGGGGCCTGCAGCCACTGAGGCTGAGCCCCAAGTCCTTTATCGGCAAAGGCCAGCAGTACTGTGTCTCGGAGCCCCAGATTCACGCGCGGCAGCTGCACCATCCTCCCAGGGCCCGAGTCTGCTAGACGCCATACTAGCTCCGCACTGACAGTACGGCCCGCCCAATCCCACAGTGACAGAGAATACGCTATATACTCACCAAAACCAGACAGAAACGCCATACAAGCTAGACACACCAGGCGCTGGGCCTCCGAAGCTTGGAGAGCACAGTAAAGAGACCCCAGGACTTCCCAGAAAGCATCTGGACTAGCAACCCAGTCTCCAGTTACAGCGGGACTTTCTAACCTGGCGGCGGAGCAGCACTGAGCTGGCGGGGCACATCAGCCCTCCAGTTTAAGACTAACCAGGGCCAAACCAGAGAATAGAAAGGCTGGTTACCCCGATTCCCACTGACGTGACCACCCTGAAATCTCCAGCTGCAGCAAGACCTCATAACCTGGCAGTGACAGCAGCACGGAACTGGCGGAGCACATCAAAGAAGCAGGGCCAAACCAGAGAGCAGACAGCCCAGATACGCCGATCTCTGCCAAGTGTCCTGCCTGTAAGTGAGTGCACCCTTGAGAATCTGCAGCTCCACTGATCCTGGCTTCTTCTAAAACAGAAGCCAGGCATCGAACCCCCTCCCACCCATATACCCACTTTGGGAAACAGAGGGGCACTTGGAACATTGAAGTTCCTGCTCGGTGGGTCTAATTGAGGAGTTAAGGCAGTTAATGCCAGAAATTGCGCTGCGATCATCACTAGCGCCTGCGACATATACATTGCAGAGCCCCTCCCACACACTCAAGGGTTCAACATTAGCCATCACTCTGTCCCTCTAGACACACGCCCACACCCACTTACACACACACACACACATACGCTTGCATTTGCCTCTGTTTGCGCCTGCGTACTTTCCTCCCATAGGTACAGCTAGTCCTCAGCATACGCTAAGGACACGGGACCTCTCTCAACTTCCTGAAGAATTCTCCAGACTCGAGAGAGAGACAGTACCAGTCTGATCGGCTGAATCCAAAAACAAACAGGGAAGGTCTCAGATAAGCCAATGGCCAGGGGTAGGCGAAAGAACATTTCCAACATAAATCAGGACATCATGACTTCACCAGCAAACCCCAAAATCGATGGATATTCCAATTCATCAGAAGCACAGGAAAATGACCTTAAAGCCATGCTTGCTCAATTATTTGAGGCTCATAAGGAGGAAATGAACAAATCTTTCAAAGAGATGGCCAGTCAATTGGAGGTAAAGAAAGAAGAAATAGACAAAACCCTTAAAGAAACACAGGCAAACATAGCCAAACAAATAGAGGCACAAGTAGAGAAGAAATTAGTGGCATACAAAAAGGAAATGAACAAAGAAAGAGAGTCCATCGTAGAGAGACAGGAATCCAAATTCAAACACATAAAAGAAATGGTGCAAGGCATGAAAACAGAATTAGAATCAATAAAGAAAACACAAAGTGAGAAAACTCTTGAGCTGGAGAACTTGGAGAAAAGATCAGGAACCACAAAAGTAAGCATCACCAACAGAATACAAGAGATGGAAGAGAGAATCTCTGGAGCTGAAGACACACTTGCAGAAATTGATACTTCTCTCAAAGAAAAAGTAAAATCAGAAAAATTCCAATCACAAAATATCCAAGAAATCAAGGATGCTATGAAAAGACAAAATCTAAGAATAATAGGAATTGATGAAAAAGAAGACTCCAGGCTCCAAGGTCAAGAAAATATTTTCAAAAAAATCATAGAAGAAAATTTTCCCAACTTAAAGAAAGAGATGTCCAT